GGTGAGATGACTGGATGCCACAAGGAAGAGAGATGAGGTTGCTGCCTGCGAGAACACGTGTTGTGGAACTGGGTACAATGGAGAAAAAACGATGTTGATGGGACGATGTGATGGAGGACAACAGATCGGGGGTGAGGACCCGATGGGGGATGCTGTGTTACGGCTTGCGGGGTGATGCACATCATGCTGCTAGCCGGGAGGGGGATTACACGATAGGGCGTGGGGGGAAATGAAACTCGGATGCCTTATTCCGGATTCTCGGTGACGTGTTGCATTGGTTCGTTGAGCATGTCTGGGTCGGAGAGAAAGCACCCTCACGAGAAAACAGTTGAGACAGCAACAGTAGGTTAAACACAGTAATATTGTAGACCGTACACCTCGAAAGACAATCGTCAGGCCTTTAAATATATTCAAAAGGGCCTATTAACTTACTTTTAAGGCACGGTTAACTCCCATATAACATAGATTGATTCCATTTTTCGTTGTGCCAATTATTTTTTTGTGGGTAGGTGAGAAGAAGTCATGAAGAGGTCGTCAGTTCACTACAAGTCAGAGTCGAACTGAGTGGACGTCAAGATCAGGGGCACATCTTCCTTATCAACCAAACAACTCCCCCAAAAAACCACATGTCACCTCACCTACCACCAGTGGTGGCAAAAATGCGAGAAATCCCCCACGCAGTCATCCCAACATTTAACTCAATCCTTCCCTGTCCCAGAGGGCCATGGGGGAGAGCCCCGGCGCACTCGTGGCATCAATTTATCACTCGGTCTCACAGATCCAAAGTTTCCCCCCTGGAGTTGCCAGGGGAAATTTCGTCATCTACCATGCCAAACAACAAGTGTTGAAGTATCTGTGCGCCGGGTCATGAACAACTGCTAACCCTACGACTTGAACGTAGAAGCTCTGCCGATGTTGCTGCTACCAGTTTGAACGGCTCTAACCCCAAACTTGACAGTGGTTTAGGTTTGAGACTCATTTTCTTTCTTTTTTTGCTTTTTTTTTTTTTTTGCGAGGCTGCGTGCTGACCGTTGCACCAATTGGGGGGGTTCTCTGGTTGCCGGCAGAGCAAGTCGAACTTGGCTGATAAAACGGCAGGCTGGCAGGCAGGCAGGCAGAAAGACAGACATTAGATGATGATGTGCAAAAAAAGAGAGAGCAATATGGAAAGCAGCAGCATGGGACATTTCAACATGTATTTTACTGACGAGATAATATTAAAGATGAAAATGATGACAGTTGTGTGTCTGTGTGACGACAATAGTCAAAAGTTCAGAACCCCCCTGACGATGAGAATGCATTTGACGAGAGGATTTACTTGACGATGAGAATGTATTTGAAGAGGAGCATATACTTGATGACGGGATGGAGGTATGTAATGGGGTATGATGACGGTAAAGGCATACAGCAATAGACCACAATAAAGGCACTTAAAAAGACATCATCAGAAAATAAAAATAAAAAAAGAATGTGAGAAATTCCCATGCAGCCATCCTTCCTCCCCCATACGGGGTAGCCAGTGGGTCGAGAACGACACGGAGGTCAATAGAGGGACTTGCTCCCCCGAGATCTTCAACGATCCCATTGGATATGTTCAAGATCCTGCTCTCTAAAGGAGAGACAGCTGCAAACCCTGCGACTCGAACGCAGGACCGCTGCCTTTGGGGCAGACATGCTAGCAGTTACACCAATCGGGAGTGTTTTCTTTGTTGATGAGAGAGTAGTTGGGCAGTCGCTCGATAAGGCAGCAGGCAGGCAGATATCGGATGGTATATAAGGAAGGAGCAGTATGAAAAGAGCAACATAGGGAACAGTAGCATGAAAAGGAGAAGCCTGAGAAAAAGCAGTAAGGGGAAAAACAGTATGGGGAAAAGTAGTATGGGGAAGTGCTATATAGGGAAAAGAAGCATGAAAAAGAAGCATGGAAAAGAGAAGGATGGAAAAAAGAAGCATGGGGAAATATAACACAGGGGAATACACCTTGGCATATAGCATCTTCAACATACATATTGCTAAGGAGGTAAGGGTGAAGACCTGGGACAAAAGGATAATGGCCGTCTATGTGATAGATAAAAAAAGTCAAAAAATGAGAACCCCCGAGCAGCTACCTCACTGCACCCCCACGGTCATCTTTCTGTTTTTTTCTTTCTTTGAGAGCATATTTGCGGCTTTAGCTTTTCCTCTCTTGTAGAGGAATCGGTTTCGACACGAGCGAAGTTTTTGTTCTTATACCCTCTAAGGGGACCAAGTCTGAGATGCATGCTCAGTTTTTTTTTAGATAGCATGCACCTTCAGATATATACTCCGTTTTGTAAGGAGGGCAAGCCTGTACGTGACCGTGGAAGTGCAACCTCTTATAGCACTTTTGGCTAATAAGAGGGAAATAACTGCAAACCCCACAATTCGAACGTGGGACCTAGCTAACACCCAGGACAGGAAGGTATCTTTTTTGACCTTCCTACCTAATGCTTCGCTAAATGCTTCCAATTACACCAGTTGGGGTTTGTTCTCTGGTTGCCGATTGAACAGGCAAGAGGATGGGATTATAACGAACCTAGAAGACGGGGACTGAAATTGCTCGTTAGGCAAGAGAGACCGGGGTTTGAGTTTGGGAAGGAGATGGCATATGGAGAGGAAGGAACGTAGCGTCATTGCTATGTGGGCCTGTTGAGACGGAATGGGGAAAATATCAAAAGAGCAGATAAAAAACATTGCTACACAGTCCAGGAGTACGAAGATGATAAAGCAATGAAAACGCTGACTTGATAATCATTACCGGGGCAATGCTCAACCAGATAGGCAGCAGCAAACAACATGACGGGTCCCAACTCTCGTGGTAATTGTCGATGACGAACCAGACAACATTTGGAGCTGACAGGCAGCAAAAACATGCCTTCCTACATCCAAAGCACTGCACCATGCCCCATTTACTCATCAGCTGTCAAACAGGGCGCCAGCCGGACAAATTTGGAAAGTGGCCAGGTCAAGATAGAAGAGCAAAAGGTACATGAGCACAAGATGTTGACCTACATCTTTGTCAGTGATGCCTGTAAATCATCACTTACCTCCAACATTATTATCCACCTCCCCGTTTCCCCCGGACCCAACCCCGAAGCCCACCGGCCCCCTCCGGCCGGGCTACCCCCGACTCCCATCCGGAAGACGTGTTTCACCCCGGTTCCTCAACCGACCTCCGCCGGCCTCCACCTCCCACATCCCCACTTAGGGCGTTCAACGGTTTCAGAATGCGTGCTTTACACACCAGGAACCTTGGCTATCGTCAACTGCCGGCCGCTTGCCAGCCGGGGCTGGATGGATAATGCGAGACCAAAGGGCAATAGATCCGGGACCATTGAAGAAGGTGAACAGACCGCTTTTTTGTTATCGGCGACTGATCCAGATGAACTGAGGTCTAGACTTTCGTCAGATGAGGGATAGGGCGATGGAGATGGCAGAGTGGAGGGAATGTTGCTCGGTGAGAGGATGAGGGTTGCATCTGGACGACAGCACACGAGAAGGGCTGGGAGAGGATGTGACGACGCACAAAAATTGTGTAAGAGAGGCAGAGTGGGCGTTTTGGGGGATTGACTTTCCACCTTTGTCACAGCTGCACCTACAGATCTGTATGGCCAGTCCGAACTGTCAGTGTCAGTGTCAGTGTCATCCGAAGCCAAACTCAACCCATCCAACTCCGACAACTCCCATCCTCTCCTCCTCCTCCTCGCATCTTCCTTCGCTTGGATAATACCAATCCTTCCTCCCCTTCGGACCCCGAATCCCCAAAATTCCCTCCTCTGCTGCCGTGTGATGAACCGTGTCCTTCTGCTGTTCCCAAAATCCAACCGCCCACGGCGGCCCGCCACATGTGCCCCAGATTTTCCAATTCACACAGAGTTGGATCCAGGTGGATTCCCCGGAAATTGCGCTCTGGTGATCCTCAACCTGTGATTGGCTGCCGTCCTAGCGAACTGCTAACCCTGGATTCGATAGGAGGAGGTTGCGAAAGCAACATCCGCTCCTGCTGTGGAAATTGACCAGCGCGGCACAGAAGACAACTCACAATTCAGTGGTACACACCACTTCAAAGTGCAAGAAACAGCGCATTTGCTCAAAGTCAAAGCCAACGTCACAACTCTCAAAACAAATCACATTAAGGTCATGTTTCCATATCGTTATGTAGAAAAAGACAGCGCCTTCACTGTGCTCAAAGCTTGTCAAGTGAAAACAGCAAAAAAGCGCTGCCAAAAAAATACAATTAGAAGATTAAATACATAGGTGTGGTATCATCATTATCGCTTGTCAATCCACCTGTTTTCCCACAAAAGAAATTTGCTTTGCTTGCTTGCTGTGATGTCCCCCAAAAATATAACAATACTCTCTCACTTAGCGAGTTTAAGCAAGGAGAGCAAGGACACCGGCAAAGGCGGCGAGGGCAATGCTGCCACCGACGGTGGAGGCACCGGCGGTGAAGACAGGCTGGGGAGGAGTGGTGCCGGAGGGGACGCCACCGGAGGGAACGGCGCCGGAGGGAGCAGGGACGCCGGGGACGCCGGGAGCACCGGGGCCGCCAGTGGGGCAGGGGACCTCGACGGTCTCGTAGATGACGGTGGGGATGACCGTGGTGATGGAGGTGCTGATGGTCTTGATGGAGGTGCCGGGGCACTCAGGAGCAACAGTGACGAAGGTGGGGATGGGAGCGGGCTTGGTGGGCTCCTCGTGGCCGGAGGTGGGGTAGGGAGGGTGCTCGACAGCGGTGGTGTTGGAGTAGTGGTGCGAGCTGGTGGCGATGGGGGTGGGCTCGACGTCGGTGACGGGGCAGACGGTGGTGGAGACGGCGATGGTCTCGGTGACGACGTGGGTGGCATCAGCGGGGCAGTCGGTCACGGTCTCAGCGCAGTCGGTGACGGTGTAGGTCGAGGTGGCGTAGATGGTAGAGGTGGTGATGGGGAAGACGGAGCTGGTGACAACGGTGGCGCTGGCAGGGCAGTCGGTCACCTCAGGGACGCAGGAGGTGACGGTGTAGTACTCAGTAGAGTAGACGGTGGAGTGAGCCTCCTCCGCAACATCCTGGGCAATGGCAGCGCCAGCGAGGGCAACGGCAGCAACGGCGAAACGCATCTTGAAGGTTTGGGGGGGTTGGTTCGTTAAAAACGAGGATAGATGTGAGTGTTGTAGAAGGGGGTTGGTAAAGACCGACTAAAGCTATAGAGCTTAAGAGTTGTTATTAAAGAATGGACGACCGAAGTCAAAGAGCTGGAGACAATTGGCTGTGTGAGCTGAGGAAGGAAAGAGAAAAGAAACAGAAGTTAGGCGGACGGCGGTCATTGTTAAATATCCATCCCCCGGGCACCTCGACTTGCGGTGCACAACATGCGGGAAATTACCGTCAGCGCCGGCTGCCCAATTCGGTGGACGCTAATCCAGGGGCTCGGTGGAGGGAACATTGAAGGCAACATCAACATCCCCGCCGTGGCTGCGGATCCCAGTGGTCCCCTGAGGATGCCCCCTGAGATGCACTGCAGCGACCGACCTTCTCCTTTGCGGAAAGAGACCCGCCGAGTAACAAGCCAGCTACCCCCTATCCAGACAGCACCGAGACAGGGGTCTGCTGTGCTCTCGAAATCTGGGTTGGTCAACGCGAGGCGCTTACAATGTCTTGTGGTCTGCTCATGAATTTGACCAGTGCAACCCTTCTGATTTGGCTAACCAGCGCCTCTCTTCCGCCGGGTTTTCCAATTTCGTCTCTGGCCAGTTCACCGCAAGAGATTCCCCGTTTGCTGCACTCCCTTTAGCAGACCCGGTCATGATCTGATAGTGGATGGGACCGGATACAAAACAAGCGGTCGAGGCGGTGGAGGAAAGGTGGAGAAGCCGGCCTCTCTCCGCATTTTCTGGACCTGGGTGCCCGTTGCCCATGTGCGCCCGTGCTGTAACGGTCGGCCAGAAAACTGCCGCCAACAACGACGCGTGCGGTGAGCCGTGACGGGAGCACACCCACTGCGCTACTGTGCGTTGCGGGGCGCGTATTTGCTTGCTGGATTGCCAGGTGTTCCTCGACGTGGTTTGTTTTGTGTGATGGCAATGCTCAATGCTCCCTCCATCTCGTGGCATTGAAACAACACATGGCCTGGCAAAGTGCTTGCAGGAGGACCTCAGACCTCGAAAATGCTCGATCATGAATTTTCGATGAGTGGCAGCTGACAGCGGTCAGCACAGACGCGGCACTGTCTGAAAGGCAGTGTACGTAGACTGCTTGAATATAACCAGACGCTAATGCAGGTACCATGAGATGCGCGCTTTTGATTCGATGTCTCTTTTCAACACTAATCCCAGGACCCTGCCAAAACAGAAGCGAGATCACAATTTCTGAGCCAACGCCCACCGCCAGAAATTGTGATGAACGCCACAGCTAGGAAAAGATCTCTTTTCCTCTTGGGTCGCACTGCTCTCCGCGCCTGTTTCTTGCCGAGAAGGCTTAATCTCGTGGAACGATCTCTTGGAAGCCGGGAATTTCATGCATCGTCCTTGTGCCCGGAGTTGAGTCCATCGCCTTGTCGTCGTCCGTTGTCGTGGCTGTTCAATGGATCAGCAGTTTCAAGATGCTGCAGAGGGAAGATCTTGTGGTGATATTTCCACATCAATCCGGAGTCGGAGAGTCAGAAGAAGAGTCGGAAGAAGGAGGATGACGTGAGGTTCTCAGTCATCAGAGGAAGGTTTGACAAGATCACCGTTCGTGCCTTGTTTTTCGTACCCGTTCAGCCGTTCCTGCCGTTTACGCCGTTGCCAGATGCAAATTTGTGTTTTCGATATCTCTGGGCACGCACTGGACCAACAAGCCATCAACAGTCTCGGCCCGGCCATTGGAGCGTCATTTTGTGGTGTGCCAATTCTGGCGACATCGTTGCGGAACAGCCTTTCCTGATTTGCTCGCAGTTCAAGATTGGGACTCGGCCCTTTCGCCCAGTCAGAGCCATCGAATCTCAAAATCCCCCATTTCTGTCATTACACCGCAAAAAAGCTTCATCGAGACAATCAAGACATCACCAAGCAATGCAACCCTCATCCTTGTCGTCGACGAGCGGTCAAAGACACCTCGGCGGTCACGCATTTTCTCCCCACAAAAGGAGACAGCCGGGGTGCATCATGCATGAGCACGGCTGCCGATATATCTATCGTGGCGGCCGCTGGTGCAGATCACTGCACCGATCCCATTGCAGCTTGACCGACTCGATGTTGCTAGAGACACAGTCTCACCTCCACGGAGTGATTCGAGACTTGTTGCGCCTCGCAGACGACGATACCTGACGACCAGCTGAACTGGAGCAGAGCCAGTGGCTGAAAGGGACAGCACATGACACATTCCAGCATGCTTCCGGAGCCTTCATCTGGATCTTCTGGCCAACTCCCCTCCATGGATCTGGATATCAGTTGCAAAGACTTGGGGAAGCTCGTTGGCCCCCTCGATGGCGGATCAAACTTGTCGGCCGAACTCATGCTTCGACCTCGTCTATCACTGAGTTTGTGCGACATACGGACCCCGGCATCATTAGGCTTTTTTCTTGTTGCTGTTTCGGCAGAGGCGCAAGTGCACTTCGTGTCATCGATTCTCTTTGGGCTTCTTATACAGTCATCAACTCACCTCAGGAGCGGTCCTTCAAGTGAAGATCAGGTGCCTTGGCACTCTGGAAGATGCAGAGAGCAATCTGTTCATAAAGCATTTTGGGCTCACAGTATTGACAACTATACAGTACGGCGTCACCGAGACTGACAGAGGGGCTTTCTGGGATAATTCACAGCAAACGAGGCGATGCAGACCAAATGGACGACCAACAGGAGCGATTGCGATCTGGACCGTATTCAGTGACCAGCGACAAGCTGTGTTCATCATCACGACACAGCAAAGCGGCAACGTCCGAGAAGGCTTTCCGGACCCGGTGTGGATTCACGGTGTGGCGGTGCTAATGGCGGTCGGGCTTGCAAAAGGAAGATACCTAGGAGAGACCGGGGCCGGACCCGTTACTGGGTCGGAAGCGGCTCTTCGCCGGGGAGGGACAAGAATCACGACTTGTGCACCAATGCGGGCAGCTGCATGTCCCACAAGTCAGCTGAATTTCTTGGGAGACCACAAGGCAGTTCGGCAGGCTGAAATCATCAACGAAACCGACCACTCACCATCCACCATCACCAAACCCTGCGGCATTTTATTGGGGCTCTTGTTCAACACAGCCTCGGCCTCATAAACCGGCCGCTTTTGGGCTGTGGCTGTCGGGTTCATACGGTTCAAATCCAAGGCGGATGAATTGGCTCATTGCACCGCCAGCGACGAATCACAGGAAGTGATCAGTGCTTCCTAGCTGCATCCCTCTCTCAAAGTCGCATCGCACTGCAGCGTCAGCACTATTTGACTAAGCAGCAGGAGACAGTCAACTGAGGACGTTTGGTTGTTGGGGGCCAAATTCAAAGTGTCCAAGTGGAACCGGGCAGGACTCAAAGGACTTGGAGACATCTCAGTGGTCCACGATTGGTATGATGCATTTGATGCTCTGTGATTGGATGCAAAGCGTGAAGGTCCGTGCAGCCGACGAGGCCTCTTGGCTTCCTGGGGGCCCAAAGACCGAATCAACGGTGCGGTCCTTGCCTGGGCCCTGCCGGAGCCCCAAAGCCCTACCGGACGAACAGGAAACAAACAGTGGGGCCCCGGCCGATGAGTCGTTGCAGCAGAGCGGCTGCGCATTCAATGCGCAGCAGAATGGTGGGATGCAGGACAAACCAACGACATTTCTAGGCAGAAAAGCTCATCGACATTGCGACAAAACATGAATGGCGGCCGCCCTCTTGCTCGGGGAAGGGCGGTCGTCATTTCTCCACTGTATGCTGGGTATGTCTGATTGACATTGAAACTGGCATTATCATCAGTTGGCTGTAGCTTGGCTACGGGGAAAACTGCACAAGCATCGAGCGGTCGTACATGCATCTCGACGAGGCTGTGGCTATCCGCATCCTTGTCCTCACAGCATATTCTCCCTCTTCCCTCCCTTCCGCTGCATGCAGCCGGTGACGTCCACTTGGTGTCCTCAGTTCTAGGGTTCCATCGTCTGTCTTGTACATTTGGTATAAATGCCCCAGATGCCTGGCTTCCCCAGGGTGACCCCCATCCTATCCCCATAAGGCTGCTGGCTGCCTGCAGGTTTCCTTAGACGTTGAGCGCGGACCACACTTTAGCGACTTACACACCCACAGACGCCTCACTCCTACTTTCGCCGCATAACCTGACCACTCCCCCCTTCCCCGTCCTCCCCCTTCCCCTCCCCCTCCCCCGCAATTGGAGTCATCCTTTTTTACACCCGAGTGTCTTGAGATTGAGACCGACCCTCTTTCTTTTTCTCTTTCTCTTCCCTCTCGCCTTTCCATCTACATACTTGACCGGTACTGGTGAGTTGCTCCCCTCCATCATTGTCAATGCTGCTGCCCAAGTGTAATGAATAGCCTGGCTTGACCTCGACTGACCACCCATCATTCTGTAGCTGTGTCGAGTATTGCATAGCTACTTGTCTAACTATATAACATCCTTATCCTGGCGCTGGCAAGTCCTTGAAGCTATTCCGATCTTCTGGTATGGCCTCCCAGATTAACGCCGCCGGCGTCGCCTCGACACCACCACATGTCTGCTACCACTGCAAAAAGTCCTTCGCGCGCCACTGTGATCTCAACAAGCACGCAAAGTCCCACAGCAGACCATACAAGTGCCTGTACACAAACTGCAAGTATCACGAGCACGGCTGGCCAACCGCCAAGGAGCTGGAACGACATGTCAATGACAAGCACTCGCCATCTCCGAGAACCTTTGCGTGCCTGTACCAGCCATGCCCATACCGGTCAAAACGGGAATCGAACTGCAAACAACACATGGAGAAAGCCCACAAGTGGAAGTATGTGAGGAGCAAGTCAAACGGCAAGCGACTACCGACCACAGGCCAGTCCGATATCGTCTACCGTCTGAAGACCGATGAAGCCACTCTTGGGGTCCGGAACTTTGGCCCAAGTCCCATCTCACCGCAGCCGCCATTAATACCACCACGTGGCCAGGATTTCGTTCTTTACGACGACGACCAGCAAGAAGATGCCTTTGGCGAGGAGGACGACGAGGCTTATTCTGGGTTCCAGGATCCGGAAGGATTCCAGTCTTACCTCCCATGGAACTCCCCAAATACTCGCGTCCGGCAAGCCGAGTCCGTGATCGATACCTGCAACGATACTCTCGAGAGGCCGCTGGGCTCAGAGTTCTACGGCAGCGGACTTCTGGATCCAAGACTTGCATCTTATCAAACGCCTCCAGGCTCGGAGTCTCATCGCACCCCTGATACGCCCTGCCTTGATATTGCGGCTGCGATCAAAGTCGAGTCTCCAACCGTCACAATGGACTTCTTTTCGCCACCAAAACGGAAATATGAGGCTGTCGATGGGTCATCGCAAGAGTCGAAGCCTACCACCAACGCAACCCGTGGAGCTTCAAATCCCAGAGCGCACCGCGCAACTTCCGGTCCAGCCAAGAGCACTCTCAACCGCAGAGACAGCTTTGATGAAGACGGCCACCGCCCAACTAAGAAGGCAAGGCAAATGCCCGTGGAGGATTTCAGCGACACGAGCATGCCGGATATCTTTCGATTTGCCCACCCCACTATCTAGTATGTGTTGAGCTTCGGTCCCGCACGCAGAAAACGTCTGCTAACATCCTGTTTCAAAAGTGACAGAGACCAGAAGGAGACGTATTCCCCATGCCACACAGTTCACAGGGATATTTCCACTCTGGTGTGAGTAAGCCCATGTCCAGCATAGTCCCAGACTCCGTTAACACTGGTGGGTAGACGACATCTGAGCAGGCCGGCGCATCGTTTCAAGGTCACCGATCGGTTCATTTCATCCTTTGATCAAGACGAGAACTTTCGTCATCCGAGAGTTGGTGTTTGCCGTTGGTGCTGGTTGACATTTACGGACCGATCCGAATTCGCGGACCATGTCTCAAATCCGTGCGAAAAGGTCTCTAAAGGGAAGCGAGAGAAGTGGAGGGTTCTTTTGAACAGCTTCACTCCCCTGGTTGATCTGCCGGTCCATACACAGTCAACTTTCGACGTGGTTCGGGAAAGCGAGGAGGATGGTTGGGATCGGCTGTCGAGAGGGCTGGAACAGTCGCCAGAGGTTGATGGTAGCACTTGTGCTCCGGAGACATCTCCGGCTTTGGTCTACCCAACCACTCATGGAGAATTTGTCTCCATGACGGAACACCAAAGGCTCCTAAAGGAGCATCAAGCACTCCAGGAGAAGCATCGTCAACTACTTGGCCAGGTCACACAGGCCATGTACGCCCAGCAGGTCTGCGACAACGCCAGGACCCAGTCTCTTGATGCTCGGGACAACATGCTCCTCGCAGCCATGTCGCGAGAGGCTCACAAGGGGTCGGCCCTGGCTCATCAACAACGCAAACTTTCGGACCGGGACAATCTCGTGCAGCACATGGACTCTCAATCCACGGATGTTGACGTCCAGGGCTTTCTGGAAGAAGTCGAGAGCGCCCACAAGGGCCTGTCGAGGCAAGATTCTGGCTTGAGCACCACATCCCGCTCGACCATCCACCACGTCCCGCCAAGCCCACCGGTCAAGTCTCTCGACTACGTTGATGACGACCAGCAAAATGCGGCTCATGGCTCCGGCAGCCAAAACGCCAGGAAGCAGCCTACGTCTCATGCCGACTCGGGCTACGCAACAGAAGGCAGACGCGGCAGCCTCGCCGAGCTGGGCCTGTCTACCGTTGCGGGGGTGGCCACGTCAGCAATGATGCATCACCCTCACCACTCCATGACGACGGCAACGACGACCGATGATACGTTTATGAAGGATATGTTTATGAGCACCGGTCATGAGGAGGAGCAGCATTCGCAAGAGCAGGCTCAGCATCATCTTCTTGATACTAGCTTGACGGACCCTTTTCTTGACTATGGATTTCTTCGGCGAGCCAGTTAGAGGCTGATTTGGAGTTTGGTTTTCCTATCTAAAGTCATTTCCTTTTAGTATTTTCTTTTCATCCATCTAGAAACACATCTAGATTTGTGGGTTTTCTTTTTTTTTTCTTCTTTTTTTCTTTTTGGTTTATCTGGGCGGCTTTTCTGTCACTTTTGATAAACATTTGGGTAGCGATTAGCGGGTAGCGGGATCTCCTCTTTCTCTAGTCCGTCGGGTACGGTATTTCCTCTCTCTTAAAATCACGGGTTTATGTGATATGGTTTATGGGTTGGTTGTCATGGGATATATGTACTTTATGTAAGGACAGGGGGTGGCAAAGATGTCGGGGATTGGTATACATCAAGGCTCACAGCTACATATATCAAGGAACAATCCCCCCCAAAAACACGGCAACAAAACAGACATTGAGTGGTGTATAGATTCCCAACTCTGTTTCTTTTTGGTTTTGTATACGTTGGACAAGAGAGAGAGAGTTATGCATATCTTTGTCATACCGTACACTGCAGAATATGACGGATAGCTTAGTTTGACAAACTAACACAAGGAAATAAATAAACAAGATATCATCTGCCGAGTTTTCTTCCTGGCGGTCCTTCAGTTCAGAATGTCGAGTTTGAATTTATATCAATGTCTCATTGGTTAGATGGGTGAATCCTTCCATAAGGCAACTTTTGCCAAGAGAGAATGGAGTTTACGGCAGGGGCAACCCCTGTCTGGTTCCGGCAGCGCCAAGACATGGGATTCAACCTCGCCTTGACTTGACGCGGCCGTGATCGTGCTTTGCGACAACTTCAACTTTTACTCAGTTTTGGTCATTTTTTGCGTTTATCGCCATACATTTGCCGTATTATTTGTTGCATACCATCATCAGTGATACACTAATCATGCCCTCCTAACCCTTTCTTGTTTATATATTCCCCCCCCATCCCCCCCCGAAAAATGAACCTCACGATCCCCCGCCTAAACCTCCTCTTCCTCCTCGTCTGGCTCCTCCTCCTTTTCATCTCGTACCTCAACTCCTACGACGACCCCTCCTCCATCTTTTATTCCGAAACCGCATCCTACACCCCTCGGCACAGCAAACTCCTCTCTCACCAAGCCGATTTATACCTCGCCAACCCGCCCCCTAGACCTCCTCCCCCCTCCGACGAAAACGACAACAAATTCCTCTGCATCGGCATCCCCTCCATAAACCGCACCACCCAGTCCTTCCTCAAGCACACAATCGGCACCCTCCTCCTCCCCCTCTCCCCCGCCCAGCGTTCGTCGGTCCACTTGGTTGTCTTGCTAGCCGACCGTCCAGCGGAAAAACACAGCGCGTATGGGGAGGGGTGGTTGGAGAAGGTTGTTGATGAGGTTCTCATTTACGATGACCCGCCACCTTCTGAGGGGGGGGTATACAAAAAGGTGCCGTTTGAGCTTGTGGACGGCCGAGAAAGGGGGAAGACGAGGGTTGAAAACATGAGGTTGGATCACTCCCTGTTGGTGGAGACTTGCATGAACCAGGGGAGTGAGTATTTTGCCTTGGTGGAGGATGATGTTGTCGCTTCAGGGGATTGGCTGACCCGACTGAACAAAGGGTTGGGGTTTCTGGAGGGGAGGAAAGGGGAGGAAGAGTGGTTGTATCTGAGGTTGTTTCACTCGGAACTGTTGATGGGTTGGAATAGTGAGGAGTGGAGGACGTACCTCGGTTGGTCGTGCACAGTCTACGCGATTGTGCTCATCTCGTTTTTGGTGCTACGATCAAAAAGGTGGTTGTGTTTTGGGAGGTTGGGGAGGCAGAACGCGGATGTGTTTCGGTATGCGACTGCGATGGTGTTTGGTCTTTGGCTGCCGGCGTTGATTGCGCTGTGGTTTCTTTCTGGGAGGATTTCGACAAGTAGGATCAACCCTTTCTCTTGGACGTCGCACGGGGTGAGGGAGATGATGAACTATGGGTGTTGCGCGCAGGGGCTGGTGTTCCCTAGGAGGCAGCTCCCTGGGGTTCTTAAGCTAATGAGGTACCCACCTTATCGGTTTCCGGGGGATATGATACTGGAGGGGTACGCGGGGGATCACGGGCTCAGAAAGTGGGCGTTGGATCCGAGTGTGCTTCAGCATGTGGGCTTTACCGAGAGCTCGGCCGGGCCGAGGAGGGCGGAGGTGTGGAACTTTAGTTTTGAGAGGTTGACTCCAAAGACGACGGGTTGGGGGTGGGGAGGTTAGGAGATTCTCTCTGCTTTGATCCGTCGGGGTTGGGTGTGGCGTTTGTGGGTGTGTTTTAGTACGACGTTAATGATCATAATATTTGGATACCTTACTACTGTTGCAAAGCATCGAACGTGCAAAGTGGGACGACGGTGACAACAGTGACCACGGTGACGACGATGTGGTGGTCAACAAAAAGCCAACAATGGTGGCGGGACGATGCCGATGACAGCAGCCAACAGCGCGATTACACCTTAGATACCCCAGGTCTGCACCAGCTTTCAGCGAAGTAACTGACGTAGTCTATGTCAGGATCTCTAGCTCAGTGGTCAGTCAGTATCTGACTGCAACCGACTGGCCATCGGTTGCCAAAAAGAGAACATCCACCAGAGCTCTTCGCTTTAGGTAGTGGGTTCGAGTCCCTACTCCAAACCCTTTTTTACATTTATCTTTCCTGTTTTACTTTTCTTTGGCTGGCAGTGTTGCTCCTCTGCACCTGCGACCTGGGACAGGGAGATGAGATAAAATGGGCCAAGTACACACAGGTCCAACCAGGTATTAATGAAGCTAACCTCATGATGAATTTAATAGTATCCTATCTGTCGTTGTGAATCTTCTCTATAAGCTTTCGACTTGTCAACCTAATCTGAACAAACCAGCAACCACTGATTTTCCCAACACCAGACACCTGTAACGCCACATGATGCTGCCGCCCACTGCAATGCTATTGAAAAACACAAAACCAAGCATCAATCACAGTCTAATCCTCCCCTGCCCACCACCGCTGCTGCTACTCCCATCACCACCGCCACCAAACCACCTCCTGATATCTCCTCCACCCTTGCCACTACCGCCCCCGTTATCATCCCCACCCATCCACTTTGGTTTCTTGATCCCCTCCCCAAACCCCTTGAACCAATCGGGTGTGTCAAACGTGTCAATCGTGTTCTTCATCCTATGCCCCAGCGCCTCGAAGAAGTTTTCGTCATCTCCGTCATTGCTCAGCGTCACCTGCCCCCTGTCCCTCCCTACCCGGCGAGCAGAAGTATTGGCCTGATGTCTACTCCCACCACCTCCCGAAGTAGGAGAGGTAGCAAAAGGCGTAGTCGGCGCCCTCGCCGAGCTACCAGTCGACGACCTCGGGATCGACAAAATTGGCCCACCCCTCCTGCCGCCACCACCATTCGTCGATGAGCCCAGCTCTGCCCTCCTGTTATTCCTCACCGACGCCGAAGTCCCATTCAGCTCCCTCTCAATCAGATCCCTCCCTTCCCTCCAAGAGCCCGTACCATAAAACCTCTCCTCCTCCCCCTCTCCATCATCTTCATCCTCCCCACCCATGCCAAACGCAGCCCCAAACCCAAACATGGTCTGCACTTTGCCGTACAGCCCAAACAAGGTCGCAAAAACAGGCAACAGAATAAACGCCGGGAACAGATAGTTGAACCACTCCCCCAGCGGCGTCAAATCAATCAGCTTGCCCAAAAACCCATAAAACACCGTGTCCTTGTAGAGCGCGCTCCCCAAAAACGTCATAAAGTTGTAACTCAACGGCACGCTCAACCTCGCCACCTGGCTGGCATACCAGAACGCGCTCTCCGGCGCCGTGTTCCTCTTGACCAACGCCCTCCCCCTCCAGACCTTGACCTCCGTAATCGAAATCAACGCCGCGGCACACATGTACAGCAGCCAAAACGCCGCGATCGCCTGCCCCGCCAACCCAACCTGTCCTCCGCTCTCTCCCAGAGGATCGTGATGAATAACCGTATACCGAATCACCGACAGACTCGGAAACAAATCCTTGACCAACTCAGACCAAACAATGCAAACAGACGCCAACCCCAAAACCCCACCCAGCGCCATCCTCAAGTACGGCGCAACATGATAATGAAACAGGTATCTGGTGTAAGGAGTAAACAAGCTCGCCCTCTCCCACAAGCTCGTCGACCCCGCCGTTCTCGTCCCCTTCCCAAAATCCAACCTCTTGCTCCCCGCCGAGTCCAGAATCGCCTGCGTCCTCACCACCTCCTCCAACAGCCTATTCCACTCACTCCCATACCTCGACCTCGCATGCCTCGCCCTGACCAAATCCCTCGTCAGCTCCGCCAGCCACTTCTCCGTAATCACATTCGGCAGCCCCCTCTCATTCCCCGTCCCCCTAACCGCCCGTCTAGCATTGCTCGGAGTCATCTGCGCCTCCAGACTGACCATATCAACCAACTCCTCAATCCAATCCCTAAACAACTCCGCGCTCCCCCCTTTACGCCGTCCCAACTCCCCAACCTGCAGTTCCAAATCCTCAAGCTCCATCTCCGCATCCTCCATCTTTTCGTATATCCTCGGCGCGTGGCACTGCAGCCTCCTCAACCTCCCACTCACATCAGCCGACCTAAACAGCCGCCTCGGTATCGACACCAACCCGTGACCCATGAGGTAGATGGCAAGAATCAAACCCCAGCAGTACGCCAGCGCCATGATCGTGCCCTTGAGACTGGCGTCGAACTTCCCGTAGGACCAGAGGACATAGACAAACCCCAACAGCCCTGACCCAAAGACGACGGCATAGTACTGCGCGTTTGCGCGGAGGGAGTCGAGGACCTTGGCTTTCGGCTCGCGGAAGCCAGAGTCGGAGTACTCGGCCAGGATGGGGAGGATGAACCACGTGAGCGCAAAGGTGAGCCAGTAGGTGATTCGCCAGCCTACGCGGAGGGCGGCGGGTGGGAGCCAGATTCCTTTTGGGATGGGGGAAGAGGATGATGAGTCGAGGGGGGAGGCGAGGTCGATTGGGACGAGGAGGCCGATGGAGGCGGGAAGGAAGAGGGCGAAGAAGACGGGGAGGAGGAGGTAGGCGGGGGTTGTGCGGAGGGGGAGGTAGTGGCGGAGGATGAGGAGGACTGTGATGGAGATGAGGAGGAGGGAGAGGAGGGAGAAGGTTTCGGAGAGGACGGGGGAGGGGGAGGGGGCTGCTGTCGAGGTCGTGATCATCGTGGGTGGTGGTGGAGGTGGGTGGGCATAGTCGATTTGTGGTGGTGGATCTGGTGAGTATCGAGTGTACCGCAGAGGTGAATGGCTGTGTCTGATAAACGCGCAATCTCGATATCGAAATTCGATGGTTGGGCAAGGCAAACTTTGGGTCGCCGTTGAAGGGTCCAAGGGCTGGCTGGGACCAGGACATGGACGATTATGTCACACCACCGCGGGAAGGCAGGGATTAGATAGCGGTTGGCCCACTGGGCAGCGTCTATCTTTAGCGCGCTTTAATTGGGGCGGCCGGCTGATAAGCTGATAAACCCCTCAGCCGAGGGGGGCCGGGATATCGCCCGTTCTCGTTGCCCGTTACTAACCACAGAGCCAACTCGACGACACCTCCAACTGTCGTGGTCTATAAGTCGTTGGAGAAATGTATTACCATTACTCTATGTTATGTAGCATTCCCAGATGATATGCAGGGTCACGGTGTTATCTGCAGCCATCTCAAAAGGGTAATAAAGTCCCCACGATCCAAGTAAGGCAAGTGGTTTGACACATTCGACCCAAGACAGGCAGATCCATCCGGATCCGTGACGTTTCTCCATCCAACAGACAAGAACCTTTCCCCGTGTTCCACCCCGCCTTTGTGCCACGGCTTATCAGGTTGTCTACTTGCAGCAGCTTGCAGAAGGAGAGGAGGGGTCGTAAGTGAGTTGAGGCGAGGAAGGAAACAGAGATACATAAAATGGCAGTGTTCTCATCGCCGAGGGTGCTGTGTGCCCCTTCCCGGACACCACCACTGTTGTCTCTCTCTTTGAGAAGCCACAAGCCCACCACTTTGAGACCACGATACTTTTCCTTGTCTACACATCTCAGAACCAAGATGGAGGTGGAACTCACAGCTCCCAACGGCAGGAAGTGGACTCAGCCATTGGGTCTCTTCATCAACAATGAGTTTGTCAAGAGCAGCAATGAGCAGAAGCTTGCTTCCATCAACCCCACGTGCGTCCGTTTTTCATGAGAGGTCACTCATTCCTGTTACTGATACCCACCGTAGAACCGAGGAGGAGATCTGCTCCGTCTACGCTGCCACATCTGATGACATCGACACAGCCGTAGCAGCAGCCCGCAAGGCCTTCAAGGACCCCTCATGGAAGTCTCTCAGTGGCACCGAGCGCGGTGCCCTCATGCTCAAGCTCGCCGACCTAGTCTCCCAACACGCCGAGACCCTCGCCACCATTGAGTGCCTCGACAACGGCAAACCATACACCACAGCCCTCGCTGAGAACGTCCCCGAAGTCGTCAATGTATTCCGATACTACGGCGGCTACGCCGATAAGAACTTTGGCCAAGTCATCGACGTCGGCCCCGCCAAATTCGCCTACACCGTCAAGGAGCCCTTGGGTGTATGCGGCCAAATCATCCCCTGGAACTACCCCCTCGACATGGCCGCCTGGAAGCTCGGCCCAGCCCTCTGCTGCGGCAACACCGTCGTCCTGAAGCTCGCCGAGCAAACCCCCCTCTCCATGCTCTACCTCGCCAAGCTCATCAAAGAAGCCGGCTTCCCTCCCGGCGTGGTCAACATCATCAACGGCCACGGCCGCGAAGCCGGCGCCGCTCTCGTCCAACACCCCCAGGTCGACAAGATCGCTTTCACGGGCAGCACCGCCACCGGCAAGGAGATCATGAAGATGGCCTCGGCCACCATGAAGAACATCACGCTCGAGACGGGCGGCAAGTCCCCTCTCATCGTCTTTGAGGACGCCGACCTCGACCTTGCCGCGACGTGGTCCCACATCGGCATCATGAGCAACCAAGGTCAGATCTGCACCGCCACGTCCCGCATCCTCGTCCACGAGGGCATCTATGACAAGTTCACCGAGGCGTTCAGGGCCAAGATTCAAGAAATTTCGGTGCTGGGCGACCCCTTTGAAGAAACCACCTTTCAAGGACCCCAAGTCACGAAACAGCAATACGAGCGCGTTTTGTCATACATCGACATTGGCAAAGAAGAAGGTGCCACTGTTTTCCTCGGCGGTGAAGCTGCTCCTCAAAGGGGCAAGGGGTTCTTTATTGCTCCTACGGTGTTCACCAATGTGAAGCCGACGATGAGGATCTACCGCGAGGAGATCTTTGGTCCTTGCGTGGCGATTGCTTCGTTCAAGACGGAGGAGGAGGCGGTTGAGATGGCTAATGATAGCACTTATGGGCTTGGGTCGGCGATTTTCACGAGGGACTTGAACAGGGCGCACAGGGTGGCGAGGGAGATCGAGGCGGGGATGGTGTGGATTAATAGCAGTAATGATTCTGATTTCAGGATCCCGTTTGGGGGGGTGAAGCAGAGTGGGATTGGGAGGGAGCTGGGGGAGGCGGGGTTGGCGCCGTATTGTAATGTAAAGGCTATTCATGTGAATATGGCGGCGTAGAGGTAGAGGGGATGGGATGGTTGTGGTTATTTGCTGGCGATGAGCGCGAGCGTGGTGTAACTACCTTGGGTTGAATGAATGAATATCTGAAGTGTCCCTCCCATGTTGGTGTTGAGGGATAAGCAATTGGTGTGAACAAAGTGTGTGAAAGGTTTGGCCATGCTGTCAGTTGATCCCAGGCATTGAAGTTTTATGTGATTACAGGACATTTATGATTTATTATCTGTAGAGGCATCGGAAAACGAGTCGCTACACTTTCCCCATAACTCCAGAATTTGTTGGAGACTTGTTGGAGTTGATGCATGAAAAGAGATCGGCCCGACGTCATCCCCAGCGTTCCATGGTGCTGGGGTGAGCTTGACCCCTGTCATACTGCCAAGCTCAGCTGAAAGCGGGCCGTGATTGGCTGGAGCCCAAGACAAGCAAAAACCCGGGGTTCCACCTCACGACTTTTGGGCCGGCCAGACTTTCTGGGTAGGGCCGTCATCCAGCACTGTCTCCACGTGTCGCATTCGACAATCCTCGAGATATCTATTCCCATTCCCGTCTTACAAAAGCACTTGCATAGCCCTGTGTGTTTCTGCTCTGTCCGTCCTGTCACAGAGATCTTCTGACAGGTTCCACTGCTTTTGGCCTTACGCGCGCGCGCAGGCACCCGTCTCGAATCTTTCGTCCTCGCTGAGCTCTCCAAACTTCGAACCGCAGACCCCCCCTGTTCAGGCCCAACCACCACCATTTTCTCTAGGCTCGCACAATCGCATCGTACATCCACACGCCCCAATGGCGCCCCTGATCCCCTCGGCCGAGATCCGGCTCTCCTACCCTCTGTACGCCCTCGACTTCGACCCTCAAGATGCCAACAGACTGGTCGTTGGTGGCGGAGGAGGGGCAGGCGGAACGGGAGTAGGAAACCAGATCAGCGTCCTCGACACGTCGACAAAGGAAGCCCTTCAGGTCGTCTCCGAAATCGAACTCAGTCGCGCGGAAGACAGCGTCAACACTATTGCCGTGGGCCCGCGCAAGAAGAATTCAGTTCCGGTGTATGCTGGCATCAACTCGAGCGAGGATGACATCAAGAAGGGGAAGAATGAACACTTTAGGGTATTCTCTGCCGATCTACCGTCAAAGACCAAGGCTGCTGCTGGAGGACCAAAGATCACTGAGGTGTCGAGGTCTTCGTTCTTTACGACAAAAGATACCGAGGCTTATCAGAGGGTTTTGAGGATATCACAGCCGTACGAGGGGGTGAAGCAGATTGGAGCTGCCGCGACGGGTGTCTACCGGGCTGCGAAGGACCCGCAAATTGCCATCTTTGATATTCCCTCTGCGAGCGGAAGCAACACGGCGCCAAAGTTGAGGGGGAACCTGGAGTTGGTCAAGGAGGCGATGGACTTGGACATCATCCAGATCAGCGGCGACGGATACCAACTTGTCTACTGCGACGACTACGACATCCACACGCTTGACATCAGCAACAAGGGTGACTCCAAAGACTTGCACACCGTCTGGACCATGCCACACGACGAGTCAATGGGTGCCAAAGCCCGGCCTTCCTTCAGGTCGATCCGTTACCTCACGCCCACCTTTGTCCTCTGCGTCGCCAACCTTCCCCAAGCAGGCGGTTCCGTCCTCCAGGGCTTCCGTCTCCCCAACCCAGCCGACGTTGGCAAGGAAGGAAAAGAAGGAAAAGCCCGCCTCGCGCTCTCGGTTCACCTCCCCAAAAACGTCCGCCGCGGCACCGGTCTGGCGGTCCGCAACCTTTCCCCTCCCGCAAGCCCCTCCCAAGAACAGGGCGACGCCCAGTTTGTCATCGCCGTCACGGGACAGGATAGCTCCATCACCCTCTACACCCTTGAACACCAGGCTCTCGCCGGTTTGACGCTGATTGCCAACTGCCACATCATCACCACCCTCAAAGAAGTCCACCCCGGTCCGATCTCTGGCCTGGCCTTTTCGACCTTTGTGCCCCCAGCATCGGGCTCAAAGGTGCCCGCTACGGTTAAGCTAGCGTCGATTGGCTCGCTGGGGAACACGTGCGTGGTTCACACCATCCCGCTCAAGAAGCTGCCCTCGTCTACTACGGTCTCTTCTAGTGTGAAGTCGCTCGTGCCAGCGAGGTATGTTGTCGCACTAAAGTCGCACGGCCCAGGACACAAGGGGTTCTTGTCGTTTATTGCCATCTCTGCCATTGTCATTGCTTTGTTGGCGCAGGCGCTGATGGAGATTAATGGCCTTGCGCCGCCGTATTTGGGGACGAAGAATGTTGTTCCTGCGAGCTGGCAGGCGCCGTATATGAAGGGTTTGCGGGAGGAGCAGGGGAGGCTCAAAAAGGAAGGGGGGGGGCAGTTGGCGGATATTTTGGGGCAGCCTAGGGAGGGGGTACCGAGGGTGGTGATTAAGCAGCAGGGGGAGTGGGATTCGGCCATGGCGGAGGGGGCCGGGGCGGTGAAGATGGTGCTCAAGCAGGAGGAGGGGAGTGGGGAGGTGAAGATGGTGGAGGAGGAGAAGTTGGGGGAAGGGGAAAAGGGGAAAGAATGGGAGGAGCTGCCGGTGGAGCAGCAGGAGTTGTGGAAGAAGGCGCTCAAGAAGGCGGGGCATTGGGGGGAGGATGTAGGGGAGGCGGTCTTTAAGGGGGTGTTGTTTGGGGAGATTGGGGGGTTGGTGGGGGCTTTTGTTAGGGGGTAGGGACTTTGATGATTGATTTGCCTGGATGGGTAGAGAGCTGAGGAGGAAGTGGAGAGAGTGGGAGAGTGAGGTTGAGTATAGAGCAGACGATTGAAACACCGGAGCTGAAGATGAAGGGGGAAGAGCTGAGGAGTTATAACGGGAGGCTGAGATGAGTTCTAATGTTGGGAGCGGGATCAATGCCTCGATGTATGTGATATGAAGAGAAGGCAAACAGTAGTGGTGATGGAAAAAGAGTATATTCAATACGGGTTTTTCTCTCTTCGTGGAATGGGCGATGCATATCCCGTCATCCGTAGTTGTTACATCGTCTTACCTGCTCTATTCACTACTTGCTCAACAAGCTCCTTCAAAGGTTCCTCGTATTCTTGTTCCTGTCAGCCTGGATGGCATGCTAGTGTATGATTGATGCACCTGACTTTTTGCTGATATCATCGTCAAGGTCGTTGTTTGGAAATTGAGCAAGTTCAAAATAGAATGCGAGTACGTGCTTTGGGATTTAACAGCATACCAAACCACGCAGGCTCATGTTGCTGTGATAGAGCGTGTGACATACAGTGAATCCTGTTCTTCTTGGTATCTGCCCCTTCCGGTATTCCCGCTCCATCATCGTGAAGCTTTGGCAGAGGCCCGAATGTAACAACTTGCACCCATAACAATTCCCATTGACAACGCCATAAAATGCCCAAACGCTACCCTGGTGACCCCTGCCCAAAGCAGTGCGCTTTGCAAATACCGCCATGCACGGCGTATACATCTCAATAAACCAGTCCTCCATAATCCTCTATCCATATTTCCACCTGTAGTTCATTCGTCCATAAAACCCACCCCCCTCTCAAACAAAAACATCCACCTCCACCACACCTCCAGCCCTCCTCAGATTATAAATCAGCAAGACAGCCTGGTCCCATTCCTCCGACGTGGTAATCATCCTCCTCCCATACGGCGTCTGTATCCACATGTGCGGTCTTCTATACTGCGCTTGCTCAAACGACGCCATCAGCCCGTCAAAGGCACCTTCTGATATTATCGAGTCGGTGTGCTTGAACTCAAAGGGAGTGTCGACCAGGTCGCTGCTATCGGCTCCATCTTTGACAAAGACGCGGTAGGTGAGCTTGGCGTTGGGCGGGATCTCAACCTCATATATATCCGGATCCTGAAGCCCGGCCAGGGCTTGGGCCCGCTTGCGTTTTTTGTTGATGGTCACCTCACTCACCAGAGAGGCAAAGAAAGACTGGCCGTTTCGCGGTGGAATTTCTGGCTCGGGTGGTGCTGTTTCGAGGACCTGGCGAATCGGGATAGGAGATGACTCTCCTGTAGGTGGAGAGGGGACCTGGGCTGAGCGCTGAGCTCTCTGCGCTGATACAGCGAGGTCGGCACTGTCCCACAAGGTCTGCATAGCAGGAGCCCGTTGGTCCGGGGGAGTGCACGGTCGCGAGGTGGTAGGAGTGGTATCAAACTGGCACTCTGTCTCCGGGGTGCTGACTTGTGGTTGATCAACCGAAGGTGTGGTTGTCCGCGATGTGTCGTCCCTCTTCCGGCGTGCGAGGCTATTTTGCTGAGTGATTCTGGATTTGAGGTTGTCCTGAACGCGGTAGACAAACATGGCGAAGTAGAACAGAAGGGTTGTCGAGTCCTCGGGCCAAAACAGAGTTCTGGTTCTGGCACTTGCATTCGCATTCCCAGCACCAAACCAACGTGCTCCCCAGCCTTCTTTCGCCAGTATCTGGTATGCCAGCTTCACCACAAACATCTTGGTGTGTGCGCCGTTAAGCCTTTTCTCGCACCTTATGCGTTGAATGACTTCGGCAAGTTGCTCGGCCTCAAGATACTGGTGCAGGTCCTTCTTCAAGTACTTGCCTTCACCCACGGGCAGCTCAAGCAGACTGTAGAGCTCTTCGTATTTCTGGTTTCGTCCTGGACCACCAGTTAGCATTTGGCAAAGGCAGAATTACAGGACGAAGTGGTAGACTTACTGAGGGTGATGTATTCCCAAATTTTTGCAAGCTGGGTTTCCTCGTCCATGCGGCGCGGCAGCTTGACCATGCTGTTTGCTGCAGTGGTCGAATAGCGAAGGCCGTGAACCTGTTGAATAGAAATGACAGAAGAATCTTCCATATTCTCCCCATAGGATGTTGGGCTCATCTGATGGACATCTTCCGGCGCATCTGTAGGGGCATTAACATGCTGATCTTGATTTAGACCCGCCCAGTCGACCTCCGAGAGCTTCTGGAGTTCGGCCTGCCAGTCCGCATCCGTGGCCAGGTCCACGTGAGCGTCGCTGAGCAGGAACTCGAACTCTCCTGATACCGCAGCTCCGGTACTAGGAGGGTCATTATGAGGATATCGGGTGCTACTAACCACGAGGCCACCTGAAGTGTGTCCATCTTGGAGCGATAAAGGGGCACCAAGAGGATCAGGGACAACGGGCAAAGTGAGCTGAGAAACAGGCTCTTCTTGTACCCTTGGCAGAGTGATCTCGCATCGGGGCTCTGATGAAGTCGCCGGTGGTGACGACGAGGATGGCTGTAGTTGGATGGCGGGGTCCGAGGTGACTTCTTCGAATAAAAGTGAAGAGAGGTCCGTCTCGGGATCAAGGCCGTCGCCAAAAAGCGAATCCAAGTCGTTGTCGCTATCTCCAATGTCGGAGAGAGGTTGAGATTCAAATTTCTGGGCCATTTTGACGAGTTTTGGCCGTTTGCTGCACGATGAGCGAAGCAGCTGGGAAAGCAAGCAGCAGTTGAATGAATATATTGACCTTCAACTTTGAGGACCAGTCGCGCTCCAGATCTTTCTTGCAAGCGCGTCCTCAATTAAGCTCCGATAAGCTGATAAGAACCCTCGGTCCAGTCACCCTAACCCTTGTTTCCACCCCAACCGAGCAACTGATGGTTCCTTCCTTCCATTTTGATCAAGAGAAATGATTGTTGCACTGGTAATTTCCTGGGAATGTGAGGATCAAAACATTACTTTTCCAGACTCTTTGAAATATTCACTTGAAGGGTAACAAGACGGCACATCTGGCTATGAGACCGACATTGTTTACTTCCTCCCTACTTTTCTCCGCCACCATGCATTGACATCTGCTATTTCGCATCTTGAAAATGATACAGAAACTCTGAGCTCGGGATACTACAGTTACGTTACCAGTGATTTTCACATCATTTGTCACCAATTGCTTGCGATCTCGTTTCTGAGGGACGGCTCGACTTGCTCGGCACCAGAAACCACACCCTGTCTGCACGATGTTATTCCGTTTGAACACAGCCAATAGTGCCAGAGAAGTGAAACCGATGAGCGTTCCTCGGAAAATCTTTCTCATATTGCGATATTATATTCGGGCAGCCGAGATGAACCGCCAAAACTCATCTCGTTCTTTTGAATGTGTCTTCCCTCACCACACTGGCCACATTGGCTGCCGTTCAACTTGGTCGGCCGGTCAAGTTCACCGTTAAATCCAATAAATCCACAAGATAAGCGAGCCGTTGGTTACCACCCTCGTTCTCCCCAGTCAAAAGTCCTTCAACTGACACGGTGACCGGACGATTTCCGGAAGCTGCCCAGGCCAGCCACAGAGCAGGTCACCTGCCATTGCTTCTTCGGCTACAACTTGACAAGCTAGGATGACCTATCACCATGAATAACCGGTGATGAGCTTCAACTGTCCAGTCACACACCCTCTCGGCGCCACGAATGGCCGTCCGCCTGACTCACCGACCTCTCTCAGCAGGGGACATCATGATTTGCTCAGAACCTTGTCAGGTCTCGCCCCAGATTCGCCCTGCGTAGGCAGCATCTTGACCCCAGTACTTTGTGTTCTGTTCCAGCAGTGCTCATCGACATCTCCGTTGGTAGGCCGCGAGATGGCAAGATAGGCCAAGTGCTAGCCAGCATCCTTCCAACAGGATCACCCCGCCCGTCTCGATGGTGCCTCGGAATGGTGCCATTACCACAGAGATTCTTTTGTCCTACTGGACACTGATAGAAGACACGGCATCTCGCATGTATCTCGCCCACAGCTTCCACACGCTATCTTCAACCTGCCCCTTCGCCGGCCAATCGTCCATTGAACGCTCGCTAGACATTCGCTGTAACTCGTCAAACTCGTCATTGTCATGAGTAAGGGCCGGATCTAGGTTACCTTGAACTTGCAGGACACATGCCAGCGGCATCTCTGCCACTGGTTGATGTTGAAAGCTGGAACGGTGAAGCCGTTCCCTCCCGCCCGCTCTGTCTGACAGTGGTCATGTAGTATTCCCACTCCCCCGGGGCCACTAGTCTCGAGAGTATTGTAACTGGGCATGTCACTATCATGTACCGTGCCGTCAAGTATTAGACTGCTTGAGCTGGATGCCACGGAGGCCTGTCGTTTCTTTATGGACCGCCCCCCGAGTCTCAGCCCCCCCCACCCCGCAGGTATTTACGGAGTGTTGACCACACCTTCACTGGCGGCAGACTGGCCTCACAGAGAACGGGAGGCTGGACTAGAGGTCATATTCTTCGATACAAGCTCTGATTTGCTCTGGCGAATGGTCCATGAGCATGATTCCACAAATTTCCGCAGGCTTGCCTTCGCACGCCCCCCCCGCTGGAGTTGCTACCTTGACCCCAACTTCACGCACCTTTTCAGCGCACAGCAGTGTCAGTCTAACAAGGTAGTATACGGTTATCCGGGGTGTTGTATCCCAGACTAGGCCAGTAGGAAGTCGAGATTCTGAGCAAACGAAGCAGATTGATGGATCAGCGGAACGGCGCCTATCTGTAGAAAATCAAGCGCTCTTGGAAACGGTGACCAGAAGCACGCCAACGGTTCACCGGGCAGAACTCCGTCAACTCTTACGAGCGTCAGCGACCATCAACGAGCAGCTTGATGGGCATCATTTGCTGGTGATCATTGCGTAATATCAGAACGGATTACCTGCTGAGATTGAATCTTGCGCAAGTAACCAAGGCAAAAAGCGGAGTCTTAGTTGCTTGTCACGCACATCACGGTCAAGAAGACGATCAGTCTGACACACTTTGATGAGCGATAGTGATATCTGACAGCATCTCCGTTGCGACGGTATTCTTTATACTTGCTGGTCAGGTATTGATTGTATCCAGCGTTTTTGTTGACACACCTGCGGCTCTGGCAGTACGTGACTCTGACCACCAGGAAGAGAATACATCTGGGAACCTCCAGACAAGACTGGAATGCGGCTGTAAAACATCTTGTAGTATATCTGACAGCAGGAATCCGAAGCTACTCTCGCAGCTTGTTTGCAACGGCCAGCATGTGTCGATGACAACAACTTGGCTGAGCAGATCCAATCTGAGTGAAGCCATCATCAACACACGCGATTTGAGCACAGTCAGTCTCCCCCATTCCACCCTTGACAGCAGTACAACAACAAAAGCATTGTCAATAATGGAACCAAGGTGTGAACAATAATTGTGCCACCGTATCTTCCCTCTTTCTATTTATGCTTCTACTTTTTCTGCTACAATCTCTCCTTGCTGCAATGATGAACACGCTTCCACACGGAACTGGTGGAGTTTCTCTACCTTCCCCAAGTATTTCTCTCAGCTTTTGCTCAAATGTGCACATCTGGGCATCAAAGAAACGGCGACAACCATCCCGCTCGGGCCCAGGGAAAAACAATGAACCAAGCTAGCCACGTAGTCCTATTTTTTATACTCTAGTTTTTTCTTGCTACCTGCTATTTTTGCAGTTTGGTTATACTAGGTATCCCCGCTAGGAAAAGGTTGGATGGCGGAAGCGAGTTGTGATGCCGGACGGGAAGGGCCGGTTTGGATGATATGGGGAGTTTTGGTTGGGATGTTCTGCTCGGGTGTTTATACGCTCTGTGAGGGGTCATGTTGATACCAGCAGATACCCTTGAACACATGACCATATATGTCTATCAACAACGTTTGCCGCCCGGTCTATCAACCCACAGTCTACATCCCCCATCTACCGCCTCTAGTATCTACCTAGGTACCTTGCAACCAACCCCCCTACAGCATCTACTCCAAAGAGAGAGAAGTATCTACAACCTAAACAAATCATGCCCCACCCCCCTGACCCCAACATCAACCCTAAACAACGCCCCCCCATTGACCTTGCTCTCCTCCCCCTCAGCAGCACCGTCATCTCCAGCAGTAGTAATGAACAACTCCTCGCCCACAAACTCCACACAGGTGATGTTTCTGGTAGGCAACCTCACCTCCCCAATCAACTTCCCCTCCGGGCTCAGCTTCAAAACGCGGGACTCGCCATAGACGGCATGCCAGATGTTACCTTCAACATCAACCCTAAACCCGTCAGGTTCACCGCTCCCGACGTGCTGGTAAAAGATGCGTTTGTTGGAGAGGGTGACGACAGAAGAAGGGGAGGGGGAGGGGTCGTAATCCCAAGCCAGGACCTCGCGCGCGTTGGAGTGGGTAAAGTACATTGTCCTCTGGTCGGGGGACCAGCCGACAGAGTTTGGGATTGTGAGGGAGGTGAGGGCGAGTTGCGGGGGGGAGGTTTGGGTGAAGCGGAGGAGGGAGCCTAAAACTGGTTAGTGCTTGGGTGGAAAGAGAGTATGGGGGAAAGTAAGTAAGTGGAGAGACAAAACTAACTGCCCAACTAAAAATGGTAAGGTAAAGAAAGGGTATTGCCCCCTCAGGCGCCGGGACGGCTCGAGAGAGAGCCGCAGGAGGAAAACCACATGGCAAGGAACTTCCGAACCCGACCTGATGGGTTTAGTTTGAGCAGTTTGCTGTACATACATGCATTTCGCATATGCAGTAGTCAACGGCCCCGGCAGGCGGCGACTCCGAGCCGCTTGCCGCGAAGGGGGAGTGGGCAGGTTATTCCTCACTTGAGGAAGAACTATGACGACGGCTGCTGCTGCTGATGACGATGATGTGTCCATCCTGTCGTTTGTCCTCTTTCCCTGGTATTCTCTTCGGTTCCCCCATTCGATCGACGCGGCAACAACGTTGAAGTCTCCCCAACCCGGGTCTGCCACGTGTACGACCGACGCTTCATGTAACTGGTCCCAGGGTCCCTGCTTGGGGAGAGGGTTTGGGTAGGGGACCAGAACCGTCGTTGATGGACCAATTCAGGGGTATCATCATGGGGATGCCATTGGGGAAGTAAACGACAAAGCAAGAAAGCAATCAAGAAAAAAACCCTTACCCTCAGGCCGGAAATCCCCCTTCCCAAAATCAGTCATGCTCCCCATCCAGAACCTCCCCTGGGGATCGACCGCCCCGTCATTGCTCCTGATCCTATCCACGCCCTCCCCCTCCATCTTGGAGATGTACTCGTACTCCCCCGTCTTCCTATCCAGGACCGCGAGCCCCTGCTTGGCTCCAATTAGGATCTTGTCCTTGGGGTCGACGCCCGCAATGTCAGCGGTGACGGTGACGGGCTCGTCGAAAGAAAGGGTGACGAGATCGGCGGGGTCGTTGCTGGAGACGGTGTGAAGCTTCTTGTTCTTGATGTCGACGAAGCGGACGGTTTGGGTGGCGGGTTCATAGTAGGGTCCTTCGCCGAGGCCGCAGTGGAGGTTAAGGTAGGGGGTTTTTACCTCCCAGACTTGGAATTCGGAGGACATTGCGGCGGTGGGGGGTGTGAGATATGGTTTTTTTTGTAAGGTGAGGTGAGTTTGAGAATGTGAGGCAATCACCGACAGCTGAATGAGCTATGGTGGAGTCGTTCGCTGGCGGAGTATACTCACGACGTCACCACTAGCCCTGAGAGTGTGTAAAGTAGGTAGCTGTGAAAGGATGGCAACCACAACACACACTGGGTTGGAAAGGGTGTGTCTGATCCCGAATGTGAGGTTCAATGGTCGACAAAGCCCTCACTTCAGCGATTACCGAGAAGCAAGATACAGCAGTTGAGACAACGTGGGCCGCGGGTAAAAAGGACAATAACCAAACGATTGGAGCATATGTGTCAATTGGTAAAATATATACCTCTCCCCCTCCTACGAGCCAAGTATCACAGTCACATACAATCTCTATAGCCATCGACTTCTATCGTGGCCGTTGTTCCCGTCTGGCGGAGTCGGCGTGCCGGAGAGGTTCTCTCGGACGTGCACCCGCCGTTGAAATGCTGCCGGAAGACGGCCCTCAGATCCGCTACGGCCCTCTCTGGCTGCAGAGACGAGCTCACAGCCGAGAAGGTCGAGGGAAAGACGGAAAGAGACGGGGAGGGGAGAAAATAGCCGAACAACAAGAAACAGAGCTTTTGTTTCCGATATGCAACTGAGGTACAGATAGGTAGAATAGGCGTGTGGTGCAGAGCCTCGATGGGTTTTGGGTAGCACAGGTGGCACGGGAACCGGGAACCGACAGCATGGATCACAACCTGGCGCGCCAGCCTTTTTTTCCTCCCGAACTTCATCCCGATTCATCATTGAAGAAGCATGTTGTTGCTGCACACAGCACGGATTAGTAAAGGGGACTATTTACCCCTTGTAACACCTCAGTGGGAAAATTGCCCGAGGGGGTGACGTTGAAGCCCGAGGTGATGCCCTATTTCTTGCGCAAGCAAGCAAGCTGATGCGACAAATGTGAGAGGGATAATAAAAAGAAAAGAAAAACGCAGGAGTTCCAACAGCCCGGTTGTTGCTATCAAATCTCTCATTCACATGATGAGACCGGTGAGAAGAAAAAGGATTTGTTGCGCAGTTGTCATCATCGGTCCTGGATTGAAGTGGGTGGTGAGCCCCCATGCCCCCGTTGTCTCTTATCCCCCCCCGCGTGTGGGTGCGCCCAAAATCAACAAGATTGGGACCCAATGAGCAAATGGGTTTGGGCTGACGAGCAACGTGTCTGTCGAACTGAAATGAGATGGCGTGAAGCTGTGCTTCAGAGTTGTGTTTTCTGACAGTTGAGTGTCTCGGGTGGTCCCTTTTTTGTATGCTCGGTCAGGTTGATTAACCTAGGTGCCACTATCTAGAGGGCAAGCCGGGCAGTCCATGGTGTTGTGTCCTGCAGATAAAGTGCAAGCTGCAAGGCCGCAAGACACATGATCGACAGCTGCTGCAGGCTGGCCGCCCCTCGGTCCCAAAGAGGCATGCACCGTTACCAAAAATGCTCCCCAAGAACTGGCCAGCTGCCCAACCAACAGGGAGCGGAGATGTGACAAGTCATCTAGGCTCATGTATCGTGAGCTGGCAGCGCAGAAGGATGCCGGCAAAGTGGGTTGTAGAAGAGCATCATGGTCTTCGGCGCTTAAGCTTCGCACAGACGCTGCGGTTGCGCTGCCTTTTTTCACCGTCTCTTTCGGAAGAATGGCAATTGCCGTATCCCGTTTTAGGAAGCCGGAGATTTGAGACGTGTTTTCGTTGAACACAACGTTGGTGTTGCATCAATGAGGAAGAGCGACGTTTTCGTGACCGGCCGTCCAATTTCCATCATCAGAAAGAAAAGAGGCACAACACAACCCCGCAAAATTATTAGTGTTGCAAGGTCCCGGTCCCCACGCGCTTCTCTGCATGCCATCTGCACATCTTCTCGACGACCAGAAGCGATATTTCATCAGGCCAACGATAATGCTCGGCTGCCAGCCGAATGTATTTTCGACAACCCTCATCTCCCGCCCTGTTTCTGCTGGCCTGATGACGATGGCGATCCACCTCACAGACGGGAGCGGCTGACGATGACCACGGTCCTGACGGGAATGTCTCAAATAATCTCATCAGCTTGTGAGACACCTCTTCGTCTTCCTGAAGCAGGATTATCTTGAACTGAGACCTCTCCCATCGACTTCACACAGTACGTAATGCCACCACCCATCATCATGAAAATGTCTCATTGCACTTCCGATATTATTCCTCAGTCACCAGTGTTCTTTCTTTCCACGGTTACCACCGGTTAGAACACACGCCTGACGTGTTCTTCCAATCCTACATTTCGTCACGTCACATCTACGAGGTGGGTGTGAGATTGCCAATCTTGGAGCCGACGTCGAAGTCTTCCAGGGCCCATGCCGTGGTGACCTGTTGCCTTCACCAGTCTCGGTTCGCCTCAGGGAGCAAGCACATCTACGGTACTTCATGGCGTCGTGGTAATCAATGTGGCCAACAAATGTCGCGATGGAGAAGTCTCCGGCAACCATCATCAATGGTACCAGTACCCGCCCCGTGTTGGGGCGGCCAACCTACCCTTTCACTACCTCGATGGCCTTTAACCCTTGTGAGGCTAGTGGGAGGTGATCAGGGACAGGGCAAATCTGCACGACAGACGAAGCGAGACCGGATATGCATGCCCTATTCCGCAAGCAGGCATAGCACTGACGTCGATGCAGCACTCTCCCACCCACCGGCCGCATGGGAAGGTCGCAGAAACCGTCGTTAGAAGCCTCACAAGAAAAACGAACATGACGATGGCATCGCCGCCGGTTTGCTGGCATTGTCCAGCCCTAAGAAGACGAACCGGGATTCTTACTCGCCCTGCCTCGGCCTCATGGGATTTCTGCGCGTGCGTTGTGGGCTGCATTTCTGCAGGAAAGCCCAAGGTCTCTGGCACCAGTAAAACTCAGAATTGCTCAGGCATCAATGCGAGATGCAGGAGTTTCTGGATGGGGGAGCAGAGTCTTCGCTGACGTCCTGCATGCCCAGTCTTCAGGGGTCTCGAGGATGGCTTGCAGTATACACACATGCTTAAGAGTCTGTTGTATACCTATCGAACCGGTCAACTCGGTCCCTATATAGCCAGTGTGTTCGGTAGGTTCGGTACCAGGCCAGCATGTATAAAGAGCCGGCAGGACCTGCTACCAGAGGATTTGGTTGTCGCGTGTCAACCGTGTCAACCCAGTTGGAGAAAAGACTGGCCTGACGTTGGAAGCATTGGAAAAGTTCCGACTGTGCCGCCCGCCTCATGCCCAATGGCTTGGGTGCTTGACTTCCAATCATCTGAAGTTCCCTGGAGATTGACAAGATGGCGTCGATCGTCGACGTTCGCAGGAAGATTTGCTCGCCTTGACAAAGCTCTGCTCTGCCACACCGGGATATTTATCAAAAAGATTACCGGTGATGCTGGCAGCAATAGATCTGAGCGGGGCTTGGCGAACCACCCAATGATGCAACCCACTTGGCGGGGAAATTCCCCAATGGTTCTTGTCGTAATAATAAACAGCATGTGCAATTTTTATTTTTTTTAATATTTCGCGCCTTTCCCGCCGGCCACCTGGTCCTGAACTGTTGAATGTGAATGTGTGCCCGAATGGATCTCCCGTGTCAGTCATGACATGACAACATCGCGAACATGCTGGAAAGGTCTTTCTGTAAAACTATAGCGCCACGGGGCCACGGGGGCCGCGAGGTCGTCTGTGAGTATGAGCTGGCAGGTGGACATGGTGGACATGGTGGACATGGTGGACATGGCAGATGAGAATCCAGTCAGGACCCGCATCGGACCAAGATCCGGTACCACGCTGCAACGACGACAAGGGCAAGCTGTCTCCATGATGGACAGCGCTGGCTGGCGGCGGTGACAGCAAGAACCAAGCTAAGGCGGTGACGTTTCCAGACATACTTGGGGGGAGCTACGGGGCCTAGCGCAATGGCCGTTCCGCCTTCCGCGAGAAGAAGATGGTCTGGCGGGAAGGCGCTATTCCCAATTGTGCCCGTCATCGCCAGCGTCCCTACCCTTTTCACTCCGCATTCAAGAGAATTGGGTTCACTAGTTTGCGCAAATAAAGTGGACACCTCGCGGTGAGCATTTCATCCATGACAGGACCAGGAGCATTCACCGTTTTCCATTCATCACATGGTAGTAGTGCATCAATCAAAACGGTCTCTCCCGCGGCACACACACACACACACACACCTTCCAATCCTTCCACCGAGCTTCCAGAAACGCTTTTTGTTGCTTTCCAGCTTGGCCGTCCAAGCTCTCCGGGCTGTCCTTGTCTTCACTCTCCAGCAGATGCCCGAAAGGGAAGACCTCACCGCACTGGAGCCAGCACAGTACGCTACATACGGACAAGTCCGCAAACGAGACATTGCAAGCCGCCACTCGGCGCACCTTTTTACTGAACGCCTGAACCGGCATCACGAGCCTAACGGCGAACTCCCCGGAAGTCCGTTTTCTTGATTTTTGATTGTCGATTCCGGGGTGCCGGTCAGCTTCCAATCGCATGCTCAGCTTCGTATTACGCCTGTAATTACTAACAGGCCGTTTCATTACACGCAGGACACAGGAACAGACAGAAGAAAACGTTTCCCTCCCGAGCTCCCCCAGACATGATAATTCAGCGGATATCCGTCTCGGGGCTATTCTGGGGTCTCATTTCACAGCGGTGATGGACCTAGTGTAAATGGCATCAGAGGGATCCGACCCGCTGCGCCTGCGCCTTCGAATGACGGGCATCTCGGCTCCGCTAGCCAAGTTGCGCTCCCGCCCGCTGCGCCTAAACTCGCTCAGTATCCAGTGTCCACGCTTGCCAGCTCACTCACTTCCCGTCAGCTTCTGACCAAAGACCTCGATCACGATGTGGGCATTGGCCACTTTTCTATACAAGCCCGAGCTCCAACATGTCACACACTAGTTGCATGATGAAGAAAAGCACACGCCATATCAAGCACGGCTTTATATACCCATCTCACCACCATCAGCAGACCCTCATGCCTTAGCCACTAACAACTGAGTCTTACCACACACACCCTTAGGAGCTTGGTCTCCTTCCTGCGGTCAGTGAGGCCATTTGAGAGACAGTCACAGTACTAGCAGCAGTTAAGCGCCAGATGTGCAGGTTGTCGACCCAACCGCAGACGGTGAGCATCTGAGGATCTGCCAGAGGTCTCAGAACCAGCATCGTGGCGGGCTTGGTCAGTGGGTGATCTCGCCGCCATGTGTTGACTAGTTAGCACTTATACCCACGCAGACTGCTCCTCCTGCCATCTTGGGCATAACAAAGAGCTTCCTACCGGGGAGAATCTGCACACTTTTCAAACGACCACCGCTTCATCGGATTGCTCGTCAAGGTCCAAACTGGACGTTCTCTGGCCCACATTATGGCGCGCTTTATAGCTGCCAAGAATTGAAGAAAAAAACGTTGGCTCAGAACGGAAACCGCTTTGGAACTAGCCCTGGAGGAGTGGATTACAGGGCTTATACTGCCGCTCATGCGAGCCACCCATCCAGCTGCTCGGGGCCAGTTCCTCGGGTCGCTAGGGGTGCGGGAGTCACGCAAGTAAGTGTAAGAGTGTCTTGCTTGTCTTCCCGCCCGCGTTGAAGACCGTTGCCAGCGCCCATCATTTCTTTTTGCCTCGTTCAACATGAAGAAAGAAAGAGACGAGAAAGACTGTCCCGCAGCCAACCATTCCAGAAGGAGTCGTTGTCGAAGCCCCGTTGTGGCCCTAGCAGACGGGCAAGCATTTACGCATTCTGCAGTTCCACGCCCCCCCCCCCCCCTCCCGGGCTTCCATGGCCAGTGGTAACTGGACCCCCGGTACCTGTCCAGGGCACTACTGACACCTCCACTGCCCAAAGGACCCAACTGCTCGTTCGTGCTGAAGTCAAGGGTCAGCATCCTAGCTCATACACTACCTACTAGGTACACTGGTACCTACACTGTTCCTTGACCGATAAGAGGGGGAGTGGGTAAGAAAACGACATGGGCCTTACACCTGGGGGTTTAAAGGTTGGTGCATGGCAACCGCAAGAGCCTGCTATCTTTGTCATTTCCAACCTGGACGCTCTCAATATCTTCTTGTCCCAAGTCTTCAACCTTTGGTCTCGGGACAGTAACGGAAAAGTGGCCCCGAAAGAGTACGCTGAGACGGGGCTTTGATATCAGTAACACTATTGCCGCCGTTCGGAAGACACGATAACTACTGGGCTGCTCTCTCAGTCCACTCCCCCGAGCTCCTCGATACCCACCACAGAGACACCACAGGTCCCCTCTCCGTCGTAAAATTGCGAGGCAACGACGGGAAGGCCTTGGCTGTGCTGTGGGATTGTCCATTCAGACGACAAATCACCTTAGCGCAAACTCTGGGGTCCCTCACTTCGACCACTCAACTGCGAAGAGCATCCGTACGGAGGAGATAATAAGTGGTGGCTCGCCCCGCTGCACCTCCAAGGTCACCCGCAGCCCGTTCTGCTTGAATCGTATGTGTGTCTCTGCATTCGCTACCTGATATACTCGGCAAAGATCCCATCTCATCCCGTACTCCACGACGGCTGTACCCTTTCCTGTCCGAGGTATCCTGCAGCGTGGCTTCCATCAAACCTGGTGCTGGCACGCAACCGCCTGACGCAGGCCAACGCATAGAGGAAGTCGTGGGCCTTTGAACACGCACTTGCATCTACCTTGGCGTCATTGCTCCGCTGCCGCTCTCCAGTACGGCCCAGTGTCGTCCTACAGCTCCGCCAGCAGAGGACGTGGTTCGGAATCCGCTCTCTCAGCGCCTTACACACCTTGTGTGACATAAAGGGACATCGTCAGAGCACCTCCCGGGACCCCAAACCTTCCATCCTCGACAGTGGAACAGCCGGCTTATAGCTGTTTCAAACACGAATCCGTCAGTCTGGCGATCACGGCGCCGATTCACCAGCGGTGGGCCCAAGAACCAGCACCCCGCTGGTCTGGTGCGGACACCTCGCTGCTGTTCACGACAGCCGCCCAGGACCACCGAAGGAGGGGAGCCCAAGGTACTGGCCTTGACCAAGAACTGGTCCTCCCGGTGCCCGACAGCAGTTACAGGCGTCAATGTCACGGTCTTCAAGGCCCCAAAAGCGAAGGGGAACAGACCTCGATGTCGCAGGGGGGGCCAGCACCTCCCCCTTCTTCTCGTCCTTCTTCGCAATCGCCAGCGACAGACACCAACACCTCTCCACAACACCGACAACAACATCTCGGTCAACAAGATGCTCCCAGAACACAGTCGTCCCATAACCCCAGCGGAGCAACGGTAGTCGAAGGAAACGAAAGAGGCTGGCAGCCAGGAAACCGACCCTCTGGCGTACACAACATCCTTAATCCAGCAGGCTCACAACCTGCTCCTGCCGAAGGCAGCCCCCAACCAACAATGGGGCCAACTCCTCAATATGGGACAACACAGGGCTCGCCTTCACGTCCTTATACCATCCCAGGACAGAGTGGGGCTTCCACACCAAGGGCAACTCACGCGCAGACACATCCGACAGCATCTCCGGCCGGTGGTTCCTCTTCGGCCGAGAGGGGCTCACCTTCATCTGTCCATCCCTATCCTTTTACTGCGAGACGGATACTAACCCCAAAGTCCCCGAGAGTTGCAAGCCTTAGCAGGGCTGCTCTGCGAACAGTCGAACCCCAGCTCGCAAATTTACCGGCCCCTACTCCGAGAACTTCGTCTCAGACAAATGACCTTTCCATGCTCGTCGGTCCTCCGTTGGGAGCTCCGTCGCCATACCCCGGCTCCCACGCCCCCACGCGGCCGACCTCTGGGCTTTCTCGATCACTCTCACAACCCAGTCTGAGCCACGGCCACCCAATGGCACACCCCCGTGAACTAGCACACCCAGCTCCCCTCAAACGTGAATACAGCGGGCAGCCAGTCTTTCCAGGCTCACCATATGGGACACCGACCATGTCAAGCAGGGGACTGCCGGCATCCAATCCTCATGGTGATGGGCGATGGGGGCCAGGGCCCATGGGCACACTTCCGCCAGCAGGTTCAGCAACTCGAAGCTTGCAGATTTCGGAAGGCCAGACTCTATTAACAATCACACCGAGGCATGGAGAGGAGATTGTGGTTCCGGTGGACGTTCACCAAGCGTCGAAGCAGGCGGATGAGAAGAGACAACGAAACGCGGGTGCTTCAGCGAGATTCAGACAGCGCAAGAAGGAGAGGGAGAGAGAACAGCAACAGGGGCTACAAAAGTTGGAGTCGAGAAACCGGGAGTTGGAAAGGAAGGCGGATGAGCTGGAGAAGCGGTGCCAGGAGCTACAAATTGAGCGTGACCACTACAGAAATGACCGAAATCGTCTGCGAGATATCGTTGCCCGAACGGCTGGTATCAGCGAGTGGGCGGAAGGACCGCCGAGCCCGTCTACGTCAAGAGTCCCAGCACCCTATCCAACGGCAGGAGATAGCAGGTCACATACACCACACCAACAGCCGATGCCAGTATCGCACGCGCACTCACAGTCACACTCTCACCCATACCCTCACCCTCACCCTGCTGTTCACCCTCTTCAACATCCCCACCCGCATCCTCATGTGCGCCCGAGCGCCTACGGGGAACCATCTATGCTCGAGCCGCCTCTGAGAAGGCGAAGAACAGATTCCGAACCTCAGATGCCCACATCATCCTTTGCCCTGTCCACACCGACTACCCTGCCACCCATCGCTGGTGCTTCTGCGTTTGGAATCCCACCGTCTCCCCATATTACACCACCCCCGGGACCTTCACGACTACCCCCTCTTCGATTCGAGCCCCAGCCGGGAGGAACTTCCTCGACGACACCATCACCTGCCCCCAGCGGCCCTCCCTCTCGGCCACCGACGCTTCCCCCGTCCCTCCCCCCTCAACCGATCACACCATACCTGCCTCAATACCACCGAAAGAGCTCGTACGAAACCGCCGGTTGGGCTACCGGGCCACGACCTTCTGAGGGAGGGCCGAGGTGAATAACGCATACGACAGAACATACTACACATATCGAATCATTTACACCCAATACCCTATAATACCCCCTTCCACCACATACATTTCCTTTGTTTTTATTGGGCATCATACTAGAGGATCAAAACAAATTGCCACGGGCGACCAGGGCGAGGCCAGACGGACCACAGTTTCTTGTTTAGGGCGGGAGGAGAAAGAAAATTCAAAAGATGTTTTTGGCTTTATTTTTCTAACTGTCGTTTGTTTCTTTTGTCTTTTTGGTAGCATTTTGGAAGCGCGGGGTTTCTTGATGGGTTCTTTTTGGGTTTTGGGTTTTCTATTATCAAACTTGTTGTAATACCCACCGCACAGCATATAGCATTCCTTTTTTTCTGTCTGTATAAATTTTTTTTTGTTGAATATCAAGTTTCTAATCATCATAACACCACCACCTGCACATATTCAGCCTTTTGTTCAGTTATGTACAATCCTTTTTTTGGGGGGGGGTTTTTTTCTGTTTTTTACATATATTCGCGGAGAGAGGAGGTACGGTGGGAGGAGGAATAATTGTCTTTTTGGGCTACTATGCCAATGAAAGCTTAGCTGGGGAGGATTGGGTGGGTTTTCTCTTTTTTGGACACACGGGCGTTGGATTAGGAAAAGTTGGAGCAGCAGTAGAAAGTGTGCGTGTGTTCCTGCAAGAAGTTTCACCGATTGGACAATGTTTTCTCCTTGGTTTCTTGCCTCTGATTTGTCTGCTTTAATTTTGACAAGTTCGGTTCAAAGAGGAGGAGGCTGGGAGGGGGGGGGGGGGGGGAAGAGCAAGGTTTCAGGGGGGAGCAGCCGGCGAGCATATTCAATACCAAGATTGTTTTTATCATTGTTGTTCAAGTTCTATTCGTTGGATACCCGACAGGATACAAAGTCAACAGACGGCCGAGGTGGGAGGTTGGGCGGGGGCTACAGGCAGCGGTAGAATGCAAACTGCATGTGTATATGTATGTTTACATACTGCATGCCTGTCTGTGAGGGGGAGGAGGCTGGAGCTGTATCCAATGGGGATATATAATAGGGTAGTAGCACGCGGCCAGCGCGAAGCTGTGGTTTGCTGTTCGGCCGTGATCTCTCAAAGCAGCAGCTGCAAGATAGAGCTTTGAGAAGCAAAGCTACTGTTACAGTACATGTACATATATTTGGTACATTGCACACGTTATTGTATATCTAGTTGCAACCGCCAAAAAGTAAATCAAGAATGTCCAAAGGATCAGAACAGCCACAAAGCTAGTTACATGCCTAATTAGGTAGGATCAAAGTGCGGAAATAATAAAACGTCAAGGTTGACCGGTGGTCTACACATCAAACTGTGGCTTAAGAGTTGTTGTTGTCCATGCATTCGGATGCCAGATGATAAAATCCCCGATTACCGCGCTTAAATGATTCGACATAGGCGCCGTTTTATACCCCCCTTCCCCCCACCACACCCACCTTCACACGAATCCAACGTGCATGTTTTGGGCGAGCGCGGGTGATGGAGGGTGGTGTTGCAGTTTCGCCAGGCTGCAGAAAGTGCAGAAAAAAAATGTAGGTATTGTATGTGTGAGTATGAATTGTGCTGCTGCTGCTGCTGCAACACCAGAGTTACGTTGCCTTTTCACCCATCCACAGACACACACAAACTGCTGAGCCGCAGCCTCTTTCTGCTGCAACATATGCAAGAAGGCTTGCCTCGCCTTGTCAAACCGTTGTTCCCCCCATCCCCCCGATTTACCCTTTTCAGCATCATGGTGTGTTCCAACACACACCTATGTGACACCCCACCCCCGCCTTGGGCCTCCAGCATAACACCTCCTCCTCCAAAAGATGGTGTGTAAGAAACCGTCTGGTCGGGCGAGGTGAGGAAGGGAAGACCGGGCAAAACAAGGTTGGGGTGTACAGTACTACTAATCCTGGGTGATCCATGAGATGGTGGCTACCGGTCAACACACCCATCACCGGTCACCACCCATTCCTTCCTTCCTTCCCCCCACCACCGCCGCCGCCTCGCAGAAAGCTAGGTCTCGAACAAGACGACCCTGTGGCGCATTGTGTTGTTCCAGAGTTTCTTGGCTCGTCTTGTTCACAATCTCATCATTTTCCCACTCGCCGCGTCTGACGATAGTTTTTTGCCATTGGCCGTGTATAAGCGACCGCAGCAAATAAACCATTTGCATGAAATGAAGGTATTCCATTCGTCACAACCTCCTTGTCACGCCATCATTGATACGAACCGCTTGTACTCGGTTGCTACCGGGCTCAGTAAGAAATCCGCCGGTTTCTGTAGCGATATGCCCTCTCGCCATTGAATACCTCCACTCCACCGCATCTCGTCGGTTAGTTGCATGGCATAACGGCACATGGCGAGTTAGATATTCGACAGGCTGGGCTAATTGGAACAAGAGAAACGGCTGGCTTTTTGGTCGTGTCGGTCGAATCAGAGACGAAAGGATGCAATATCCTTTTTGAGCCAGTTGAAACTCACTCGCGAGAAATCAACCGTGGGCGGGTCGACTCGTAGCGTCGATCCAATGTCCACAAGTGGAAGCGCTATTAGATTGTGGATACGACAGTGATAGGAAGAAGCAAGAACATCGACCAGTCAACCAAAAGAAGACGCCGTTGTGCATCTTGGCTGAGTCGAAGCTTGCGTATACTCTCCTTTTACAGGCGCGGAAAGCAAGGTGGTATTCCATTTCCGTCTCTGCAGGATCTCCATCTCACACCCATGTCTCATCTCGGTGTCTTCATCGTGGGGTTCTTCAGCGATGAAGAAAGTCACCCGACTCATCAAGGTTCCTAGCATGTGGATTGTTCCACCGTTTCGAGGTGCCATTGCTGAGGCGGTGTTGTTCGAAATGACATGATCTTGACAAGCTGGGCGTCAGCCAACCGGGCTAAATTTTTGGCGGCTGCCAATCACGGTATGTCGAGATTTCAATATCCGAAACAGGCGCAAAAGTACGAGGGTGAGCCGGAATAGAGTGCCTTGTTACTTCGGAGCTTGTCATATCGGTGTAACACTCTCGAATTTGCGGTGGATGGTGGCGGTGACCGCTACCGAAGGTTGGACATTCTGTTTTATTCATTGTCACCTCAAGGTGTTGGTCATAAGTGATTGGGAAATGAGAGTACATCAGTCAGGAAGGTAGAGAGTAGACCGTGATCCTTGAGTGTTTTGCGTAAATGATAGCCGAGCATGTTTGACAGAATACTGGACTAAAAATCGATAGGTGCGCGGGATGATGGCTTGTGAGGGTTGCTCGCTACCTCAAGGCCGTCCGAGTATCGTCTGGGGCCTGTGGAAGTGTAGCAGTCCTTGTCTTTCTGTCCCAAACGTTGCAAAACAGTGCCGTACCGGCAAGTTCGATCTCGGTAAATCGGAGGCGACGTTGCAACGAAACCGGCAGTCTGCCCAAATTCAGTCGACATCGCGAGATAAACAGCGCGTTTTTGAGATTGCTGTTGACACCATCGAAGACCGTTGTAACTCTTCGAATCTTGTCATTGTCCCTACCGACTTTTCCTCCTCGCACTGGAGAAACGGAGCGTGGTGCTTCTGCGGGTCCTCGTCCATGGAAGGAGAAGGTTGCCCTGGGCCTTCATCATATGACGAATTGGGCCAAGGAAGCCATAGAATAGCACCGAAAAAGAAAGAAAAATCGATTCACAAGTCTTTGGTTGTCATCTGGGGAGCGAGTCAGCGATGTAACATCACCATAGGATTACCGAGGTGTCCACCGCCAGATGATACTGGAGACGGTGAGAAGACTTACTCGGCGGGACAAGATAGCGGTGTGTACTGAAATGTATCGAACTGAACTGGCGTTGAAGCCCAATACAGTGCGGTGGTAAGCAGTGTGTCTGCACCCAATGGTGTGGTTGAGGGAGGCACAGTCGTTGCTCCCTCACCCATGTTGGGGTTACATGATCCGACCTGTCGGGTTTGGGCTTGTACATGGGTCAGTCATGGCCACGGGACGTTGATCCGGATCGGTGGGACGATTCAGCGACCAAAGGGGGAATTGGAATTTAATGCAAAGGTTGTTTCAAGCAGTGAAAGTGGGAGCTGAGAAACGGTGATAAGATATCCTTGGCGATAGCAATGCAATGCAACAGCAACTGCCGAGCCCAAGTGGATTTCAACTGGCCTTGGAGGGCTGAGAGGGGGATTGAGAAGGGGACATTGTGATAGCTTAGGGATGAAAAGAAGAAGAAGGGGACTGTGTAATAGAAGCTCGATGGGCAGCGCAATTTTTGAAACCCCATCTGAAGTCTTTGCACAAGATAGATGGATGAAAGGTTCAGTTGATAGTTGAAGATGGTGACGCTGATGAAGTGTGGGGGTTAGCCTTGTGCCACATGCAGGAGCAGGGATAAGCCACAGTTGAGCCGCTCCACTTTCTGACCTCACTCGAACCGTCCAAAGTTTATCGCTGCTAGCTATTGGGCCAAGAAATATCAACGAGGTCGTCAACCATCTGCCATTGTTGAGCCGGGGAAAAGGACAGCAATAATGGCAGACTCACCACGCTCGCCCAAGAGGCGGCGTATTCTCGCCTCAATCAACCGCCCAGATCACGATGCCGGCAGCGATAGCGATGAATACGGCCCAAGACCAGCGGGCCAACCAAGCAAGACGCATCGCGATATGCCCCGCCATAAATCAACCCCTCCAGGCGAGGAACCACCAGACGCCAAAGATGAACCGCATCAGTCAGAGAAACAGGACGATCCTATGCCTACAGATGGCTCAAACCATACCCCAGAAGCAGACGGCAACTCTACGAAGCCGAAATCCACCAAATTCCGCTTCAAATCCAAGCCCTCCCGCTCCCGCCGAGATCGCGATAAAGACAGGGAGGAAAGGGATCTCGACAGAGACAAACGCAGATCCAGCTCCAGAGACCGCACCTCCTCGCAATCCCACCGCCACCGTCACAGCTCCCGCTCCCCCTCCGACAAACACCGCCGCTCCTCCCACCGTCACCACCACCACCACCGCTCCTCCCGCCGCCGCCGGCCCCCCTCCCCCCAACAACCCGACCCCTTTGCCCCGGACCCTCTAGATCCAGAAACCGCCTTCCGCGAATCCCTCTTCGACGCCATGGCCGACGACGAAGGCGCCGCATACTGGGAAGCCATCTACGGCCAGCCAATCCACATTTATTCCAACCCCGAACATGTCAACCCCGCCACCGGCCACCTAGAAAAGATGACAGACGAGGAATACGCCGAGTATGTCCGTCAGAAGATGTGGGAGAAGACTCATGCTGGCCTGTTGGAAGAACGGGAGAAGCGCAAAAAGCAAAAAGAGGAACAGGCCAAGAAGGACGAAGAAAGAAGGAGGATAGAAAAAGAAATGGAGAGGAGTTTTATACGAGGGGAGGAGAGGCGGTTGAAACGGTCATGGAGGACGAGGTTTGAGAGGTATCTACAGAAATGGGAGGAGTGGGTTAAAGATGCTGCGCCGGGGGCGGAGAAGATTCCTTGGCCGATTGGAGTGGAGAGGGATGAGGAGGGGGGGTTTAGGGCGGGGGAGGTGAGGACCTTTTTTGTGAATGGGCTGGGGCTGGAGGAGACTGGGGAGAAGGAGTTTGTGGCTAGGTTGAAGGAGGAGAGGGTGAGGTGGCATCCGGATAAGATACAGCAGCGGTTGTTGGGGGGGTCGGGGACGGTGGATAAGGGGGTTATGAGGGATGTCACGGCGGTTTTTCAGGTTGTGGATGGGTTGTGGGGGGAGCTGAGGAGGAATATGGGGAAGTGACATTATGTTATGGGATGGCGATAGGCGTTTTTGGGCTATTATACCGGTTATGAGGTGTTGAAGACTTAATGATCAAGGTTGCTAATGATACCATAGGGGTGTTAGATTATGGTAATAGAGATTAGGAGGTGCAGGAAGGTTTGGAAGTTGTGAGATTGTACCATCGAATTGATACTGTGTTAGTGTTAGACAGTGAGGAACGAGCAAAAAGCAGAAACGTGAGAGGCCATAGGATTCGTTGATAAAAAAGAAATAAAAACGAAAAAGGGCTAAAAACATACAACACCAGGGATTCCCCAGTGGTCACCCACCTGGGTACTGGTCTGGCCCTTGACAGGTTATCGAGGGGAGAACGGACGGGATCCCGAGTTTTCTGCCAGGTATGGTCGTATGTGATAGTTGTAGTTGATTTTGGAGCTTATGTAGCAAACAATGACTAATCATGGCATATATGCGCGCTTTGGACTTAAGGTGTATTAGCGGCAGGGCAAGTAACACATGCAGCTCTGCTCTAGTGTGAAGTGTTGGAAATACTTATCATGTCCGCTTATATCTTTGAGGAACTGTTGTTGACTACCTGTTATCTACTTTGAAAGGCATTCTCACCAAGGTATCCTTCACTGCCATCCGTCTGTGTGTTTATCTTGCTTTTTCTTTTCTTCTGGTGATTTCAGCAGTACCTGCCTCTTGCCAAACGTCGAGGTTTCTGTAGGCAGGTATTCTACCTAACTTGACCTCGCTACCTCCTTCTGCTGTGACCTGTGGGAATGTCTACTCAGGTGCAGTGCAAGTAAACAAGCATAAAGCACCCGGACAACCCCACTAAATTTGCTGACAGTCCATGTCTCACCTCCTCTGTCTCTCCCCCCCCCGGGTTCCGTATTTTTCCAGCTGTTTCTCATGTGTCAAATGTCTCCGATTTTCTTTATTCTCCGGTCCGGTGTCTGTGTGTTTGTTCTGTTGTGTTTGGGTTCGAGATTTTTTATGTATTATGCCGAATTCCAGAGGTACCCAACATAGGATTGTGGGAGCACATTCACAGGACACAACAGTCAACTGTGCTTATACCACCTAGCAATTGACGGGAGGCAGTTTGATTGCCTTGGGTACTGTTGTGACATATACTGAGGGACGATCCCCTCGTAAATATATCAGGTTGAGAGGGAAACATTTGTCTGACTCTGTTTTGTTTCGTCTAACAACCGAGAGTCAATGACGTACAATAATCAGCTGTCTGCGGCCGCCCCAAGGGTTCTGAGATGCCCTGCATCATCCCTCATCTGGACTTCACATTTCATCTGATTCAAGCCGACGAAGCCGTGTGATTCAAGTGAAATCTGTATTTGGTATAAAAGACTAAAAATCATGGCACAGTTGTAACAAAAAACAACAAAAAAGTAACCCTAGTACCAGGATCCAGATTCACACAAAGAACCTTAAACCAAGTAAACCAGATATCACTGAACACAAAAAGAAATACCCGTCGATTAATTGCTCATGCTAGCAAACCCCTCATTCCCAGATCCCTCCAAATTTCCAAAGCGATCTTGTTGCTGTGTTCTGTCCAGCACCTGTCCATTATTGAAAACCTGCCAGCATTGAACCCCCCTCCCCTCCCCACCGCCCAAAACCCCAAAAGCATTAATGTTGTTACAGAAGGCTCCATCCATGTACACCGTAAGTCACTTTGACTGATTTAAAAGTTGGCCAAGAGGGCGGCACCACCAAAGAGGGCACCCATGGCGACGGCGGCCGTCTGTTGAGGGCCGGCGTTGGTGGCAGAGCTGGAGGCAGACCCGGCAGCCTCGGTAGCGGAGCTGACACGGGAAGCGACGGTAGAGGTGTAGCCGGCCAGCTCCGAGGTGAGGGAATCTCTGTCGGCGCCGGTGGCAGTGGCGATGGCAGAGCTGAAGCTGGAGAGCACAGAGTCGGCGCTGGTGCTGATGGAGTTGAGCTCTGACTCGGCAGAGGTGCTCACCGACTCAAGGGCAGAGCTGACGACGGAGGAGACAGAGGCCGCGCTGGAAGCAATGGACGAGATAGCGGCGGTGTCTGTGGGGTCGATGCTGGTGGTGTCGACAACGGTGGTGGTGTCTTGGGCCTAATGCCAGGTGTGTTAGCACTGCGTACATGATGCATAGGAGAAGCGTGGTCAGCACATACAGCAACAAGGGCAGCAAAGCCGGCGAGGATAGGAGCGAAACGCATGTTGGCGGTTGTGAAGGGTTGGTGATCAAAGTGTTGGTTAGGCTTTTTGCGAGGTAAAGCGACAAAAGACAACAACTCGACAGAACGAGGGATAGCAGGGTGAGGCAGACGGGTGAATTGTGGGATGGAAAGTCCTAGTGAGGTCAGATGCTCAGAGGACCTACTTATATGTGTCTCTCGCATGACCCGAGACGTACGCGGCGTACCGTACATGCATCTCGATCGGCCGCCAGCCAGCTGCAGGTCCCTTTGTCATAGAGTTTGGGTTTGACCGAGCCTTTACCGATCAACCTTGGGATGGAATGCGTGTGGGCTCGGTAACCCAGCAACCCGCCGCTACGTCTGTGGTGCGGCGATCCAGACCAGACACTGTCTTGGCCATTGGCACATGCAGGGCGCATCACTGTGCGCAATGGGGCGCTAGGGATACGCAAGCCCAGTGGCCGGACGGGCGTCCACCAGGTCCGTCGTGGGTAGCCCGTTGTACCGAATATCCACCGTTGCTCTGCCGTGCGACCAAGGCGATGGGCCTGGATAGCTTGGACTGCCCTTGAGTAATGTCATCATTGCGGGGAGCTTTCGGTTTCAAGGTCCGTCACCGGCCGTCTTTTCTTGTCCTGTCGTGGCTACGGGATGTGTGTCTCCCTGTCGGAGAATCCGCCTCCTTTTGCGGTGGCTGGCATCATGGAGCTGTACGCAATCCTAGCTTGGAAATGCAGGTGATGCTGAGATGGAAGATTCTCCTGAAATCTTGGTTCGGTAGTGCAGAGGTGCGGGTGATGTTCCCAGATTTCCCTGCTTTGTCGTCGTCGGCTCCGTCTTTGCTCCACCCATCTCCGGCAGCCTCAGCCGTGCCCCCCGGGAGGCAGGGGTCCCAACTTTATTTTGACCCCTCATCCATCTCCACACCAGCTCGTCAACGTTTCCACCTTTGCCGTCAATTCCGTTCACTTCATCCATGATGTCACCGCGATGGTATCAAAGTTGGGGAGATATTAGTTCATATTTTTCTTCTTGAGAATTCGATCTGCTCTGCAGCCATCCAGCTCGTGTATGGCAACGCCTCAACAAAGTGGAAACGCAGGCAAGGGGTCATCGCACAGTCCATTGTGAGCCAATGAGTTGGAAAATTCCGGCTAGCTGCTGGCTGTGTAGCATAGACGCATGGCGGTGTTGCCTGTGCGGTCCGAGCTATTCATCAAGCTCAGACTTCTCGGTATGGCGAAATGCCCTTCTTGAGTTCTTGAACAATCTCTGCCGCGGATTCCGGGCTGCTGGTCACAAAGTCGTACCTCTTGCTCTCGGTAGACTTGTACACCACGAGCTAGCGGTCAAAAGGGTTAGTTGGTGGCTCGCCAAACACAGGAGCTCCACACCTGGCCTCGTCACATACCTTGAAATTGGTCGGGTGCTTGCGTGAAACCTTGCAGCCCACCACATTGCTGAAGTGGATGGATGTCATCTTTGAATCGAGATCCCCGCTCTTGGTGCCAGAGGCTGGCATGATGTGGACATGCTCACTGTCAATGGCAAACAGCTTCTCTGACAGCAACCGCATCGGCTGCTTCCGCCAAACTGTGTACTTTCTGACCTGGGTGCTGAGTCCAAGCTCATCCTGCTTCAGGACCTCCTTTGCCAATGGATGGGTACCCAAAAGCTTGGATTTCTTCGCCTTGGTCCAGCTGGAGTTATCAGAAAACAGAACCGGCCTAGGTGACGAGCTGCTTGGCGAACCCGTCATGGTGAGCGGCCCGTCTGTGGCAAAGCGCCGACGGTACAGATCTAATTCTGTGATATTGCCCAACGAAGCGACCGTTCGGTCAAGCATCACCACGGTGCCGGTATTCGGAACCTTCAACACATGATTGGCCTTGTCTAGCTGGCGTTTTCTACACGCCGTGTCCAGAACTTCGGCTAACCACGTTTCGGTGCTGACGTCGAGTGTGAGCATCTGCCCTGGTGCAGCATCTGACGAGTGAATGTGAATGCGAAGGAGCCTCTTCTCACCGCGGGACGCAGGTGCGGTAGGCTGGGTAGATTGAGGCACATCGGCGAACATGGTGCCTGCCTTGTATCCCGTGTTGAGGACGGGGTTCTCTCTAGGCGGCGCGGGAGCACCCAAGACGGCCTCGGGTCGGGGCGTGCCCTTGGGAGTAAGGTCCTTGTCCTCCTCTTCGCCGCCGGCTTCTTGCTCGAACTGCGGTGTCACCCGCTGGTTCTCTTCAAATTCATCCTGTGAAGCTTGCGACAAAGCAAAAATGTCGTAGACTTTGGAAGCTGAACGGGCTCTTCCGGCCCTGTTGTTCGCTGTTGTGAATGAGGTGAGCTGCTTTTTGCGCTCCAAGGGTGGGAAGTCATCATCGACCTCGCCATCTTCCTCAACCATTCGTAAAGTCCACCAGTTCACATTGAGCTTGTCGCTGGGAAGTGGTGGCTCCAGCTTTTCTTCGTTATATCGCCACAAGCTCAAACCAATTAGGTCGGCAACCGTTACGGCTCGGTCGCCGCCTTCTCCCTCATGAACCGTCCGCCGAATAAGAACCTCGAATGGTTTTGAGGGCTGCTTCGAAAATGGGGCATAAATGCGCAGCATGATGGGATTCGGGTCTCCCTGACCAGAAAGCGAGGCAAATCCATCGAACGGCAGGGTTGGCTTCGTCTTCTTGGCTTTCAGAGCTGCGGATAACAAACTCTTCGGCTGGATCATGCTGATGGGCCGAATTGTGCTCAACGGACGGGGTGGTGGTAGATCGCCCACCGGTAAGTGTAGAGGCAAGGGCATTGCCGACTTCCGTATCGTCATCCTTCGCGTGAACTCCCTGGGTGGTGTGCCCACAACCTGTTCCCGAAGCGAAGCGTTCATAGGGTTCTTCACAGCCTCCAAAATGGATGCTGAGTCGATGCTCTCAATGAAAGCCAAAGACATATCCGAGGCATCAGAATCGGACTCCGCCTCTTCCTCGAGAAGTTCACTTCCCTGTCTCTTGATGCCCTCGGTGGGCTCGGTGAGCTTGACCGACAGCTTGGCGGCTCTAGCTGCCGCTTGTCGGGCGGCTTCCCTGTGCCTGTGATAACCTAATGACTCAAATTCATTCTCCGAAGAGACCTCACTACTCGTCACCGTGTCGCGTCTAGCCCGTTCTTTGACAGTTTCGAGAGCGGACTGCGAGCCTCTCCTTGGGACAGGGCGAGCAGGTGAAACGGTGGTCATCTGCCGTAGGTTGGATGATTGCAGAGGAGAGGATCCTGATCGGTTGCGCACAGGCATCTTCGCAAATTTTATCTGCTGAGCAGCACGTTGATCAGGCTCATCATCGCTTTCATCGCTAAGATCGCTGCTGTCATCTTCCTCCATTTGCTCACGCCGGCGCCGCCGTTTCGTCGCTAGACTTGGCCCAAGTGTCTCCGGAACACCACCTGGAAACAAGCCATTTTCTTCGCCCTCATCTTCCAGCGTTAGTCCAGCCGCCTTGGGGGCCTGGAAATACTCGGAAGCAATGGCCGTTGGAATCGGAGGCGAATGAGTCCTCTTGATGAGAGCGGGATTTGGGCGCCATCCTGCCGATTTGAAAGGTGCTGAATTGAGGAAGTTCTCGTTCAAAGTGAAAAGACGCTCGCCAACTCCATCAGCGATATCGTTCAAGTAGCTGGTTCGGAGTTGGTACAAGACCAAACTGAGAGTATGTCAGCTTAATTTGCAGGTAGAAACCTTTTGTATGAGGTACACACTCTTCGACTTGAATGACAGACATGTTGGTTGTGAGAAGGTCGTGGCAGGCGAGGCAGTGTTGGGTTTCACTCTCCAGGCGTGACTTTGATGATTTCAGGTCGGCAACGAAGATTGATATACGCCCAGGTAGCAAGATAGATTAAAATATGAAGATATCCAGCGTGGTGGGGGAGGGGAGCAACGCAGGAAGCTGGCCGATTGGTGAAAGACGGTGAAACAAGCAGGTGATTAGGAGGTTCGCCCCGCCAAAGGTAGTGAATAGAGAACCCGTCAGGATCAGATGAACACCCAAAATGAAAACGTATTTTCTAATCGCCGAGTATACTGCCAGAGCAACCGGTGACGATAAGAAGTCGAAGTGAGAAGTGACTGAGCAGTTGTCAGTTGGATGATGCTTGGTGAGGTGTATGGCCCGCTCACCCCCCAGGGTCCCAGATGCTTGGCGCATTTGTCACGGCGACAGAGAGCCCCACCGAAGCCGAAACAGGGATAATTGTGGTTTCTCAGTGATAGCAGACCGAGGTGCTGGAGGGGTTGCTTTGTAACAAGTTTATATAAGGTTGCTTTGCAAGAGTTTAATTACATACAATCATTTCGGCAGGAGATAAACCGCTTAGGAGGATACTTTGATTGATTGTCAGTCAAGAGAGACAACCGAGTCGTCGTTGCACTGTGGGTGGAGCTTGCCAAGGCTTATCGATAAGGTAGCCGCGCCTCTGACGGTCGCAGAAGCAATCAACTGTTTGCCTCCTACAAACCCAAACCCCAAATTTCAATCATCGTCATCGGCACGCAAACGACATCATTTGATCAATATGGGCTTGGTGGACTACTCAGACTCGGATTCCGATGCCGAACTTCCACAACCACAGGCACAGAAACCAGCGTCTGTCCCGGCAGCCAGCGCCGCAAACAATAAGAAGCCATTTCAGAAGCTTGTCGGAGGCTCAGGCAAGATCGTTGTCAACTTACCGACCACGAGCGCGGCAGGCAAGACTGCCGACAATGACGGGCCACACGCGAAACGCGCCAAAACGACGACCGGCGGAAGTCGATTCGGCAATTTTGGCTCTTTCTTACCACCACCGAAGAAAACAACTGCCATCGCTGCATCATCCGATTCCTCATCCGATTCCTCTGCGAGGCAGCCAGGCTCAGCGCCGGCACCAAGGGTGAACTTGAGGACAGGCGCGGAACCAGCTTTTGTAAGAGGAGGAGACGACGGCTATGGCGATAGCTCATCGACATCAGGAGGCGGTGGCCTCAACCTCCCAGCTCCCAAAAAGAGCTCTGGTCCATCAATACCCGAGGGTCAGAAACCAGAATCGGAGGTCAAGCTGGTGGGGAAGCCGCTCATGTTCAAGCCGCTTTCAGTTGTGAGGAAGAAGACTGGACTGAACGCCAAAAAGAAGACGACAGCAACAGCGACAGTAGCGAAGACTGAGGTTCCAGCGCGGGTGTCGACACCGACAGAAGCAGTGATCACAGACCCGCCAGTACCCCCGAGTCCGCAAAAGAAACATGTCTCCCTGTTCTCCGTCGACGACGACGAAGATGCTCCTCCACCTGTCCCCACGGCCACAACAACCACGGGCGCCTACGAGCCTTTATTCACAGTCCCAGAACCCTCTCCTACCTTACAACACGCACATGATGTCACAGCGCCTTACCCTGTAGAAACAACCCAACCTTCAAACCCGGTACCGGACGCGTTTGCCGGCCTTTCCAAGGCAGCCCGCCGTGAGCTTTTTGGTCGCTCGGACCAAGTACCGACCAACATGATAAACTTCAACATGGAAGCCGAATACAACTCCAACGAAGCCCTCAGACAGTCGGGTGAGCAGCAGGTTTACAATCCGATCAGATCGATTGCTCCAGGCAAGCACAGCTTGAGACAGGTGGTCAACATGGCCCAGAACAACCAGAGTGCCCTGGAGGATAGCTTTGCCAAAGGCAAGCAGAACAAAAGTGACGCTGCAGGGAGATATGGATGGAAGTGATGCGGGGCAAGGGTGTCTCTGGCAGAGTCGATATTGTATACGGCATAGTTGTGGCCAACGAGCATTTGACAAGTCAAAGATTCGTCAAACCAACGAAACAATTACCATACCTCAATCGCTATTCTCCAATGACCATGAAGCATCTATACGATGCATGCTTTGGCGAAGTGGTCGGGTCGACATGCAGGGAAGGGGTTGCCGATGCAATGCAAGAACGTTGTTCAATTCAAGGATGATTGCATGCTCGCTGTTCTGTTTTGGGTTATTTGCAGAAACAATTCTCCTCGACATCTGTTGTGTAACTGTTCCTGACGTTATGGAAAGGCGAGATGAGCTATGATGGGATGTCAGCAAGATGGTTTGGAGGAAATGCCCGGAGTGCCTCGTTGCCGTTCTTTTTACAGAAGAGATGAGAGAGGGAATATTCTACGATTGGGTCTCGATTTCTAGAGCCAACAGTGACTGCTGCATGTGCAGATGGATGTCTGCATGCATAGGGGAGGTTGGATAAGAAGCTTGGACTGGACGCTAAAATATCTCTTGGGTCCCATCTCCCCGCATAAGGGGTGGGGTCACCGAAATAGACGCCAGCCAATCCCGGGGTTGGGCGTCTAATGCTGTCCAACGACATGCTTGGCTATTTTTGCACCCTGGGAGCGAAGAGGGTGTTAACCGCCCGACAGGGACCTTTGTTGTGGTGTTATCACATCATAATACCCTTGCTGCAGTAGGCGGATAGACGACGCTGTTAGTGCTGATGCAGGCACTACTATGGAAGCCCTTAACTGGGCAGGATCACTTCTCACTTGTCGATTCATCACCACCATCACCATCACGCTGCATCTGACCCTCTTCTATCGTGGAAAGTTCCATCCCGTCGGGAAACCCTACAGCCGGAACCGTAAACAATGAAACACGGTATAGCTCATCTCTCATATGGTCGTCGTTTCGTTTCATGTTTCTTGTGATGACTTTATTTTAGTTGATAATCACGGGTAGCCGCCGTGGACTGTCTTTTTTTATTTTTCTTGCCGTCTCTTCTCACCTCGCTCCTTTGGTTGCCCATCTCCTGTGTTGGAATAAGGCTGCGTTTGCTTACTTCCCATGCCGCATCTATTAATCGATCGGTATCAGATCTGAGGTGCTGTGAGAAATCCTGTTGACACTTTATTCTCCAATATATTCCTGAGGATCCTCTTCATTGAGCTGCTTCTCAGGATTCAACCTCGTCAGCCACCAACCTTTGAAGGAACAAGAGCCCGATCGACAGACCGTCTTGCACCACACGCACATATGCAGACAAGCACACCATGGCGCCTATCATGAGGAATCGGATCTCATCGCCTCTCGAGGCTGGCCCATCCATCGCCGACAGCCTACCGGTCTACGTCAACGAGGCCTTGGATTATGCGTCGAAGAGACTGGCTAAGAAGGGGGCCAACATTACACTGCTTGTTGTTCGCCGCGACTACCAACTGCCGACATCCACCATTGTTACCTCTCCGACCTTTACGCCAGGCTCGCACGTCCTCAACACAGCAGCATTGCGGCCTACCCTGCCTCCTGTCTCGAGATTGGAAGCCCTCAAGCAGTTCGTCAAGCTCAACAACAGCACAACGAGTGACGGAAGTGTACGAGAGAGGATTGTCCATATTCATTTGGATCGGTTCAGCGATGGCACCGTATCACCTGCCTTCAGCGAGGCTTCTGCCATTTCCAGCTCCACCTACTCCTCGGTCGACTCGACCTTTACCAGCACCAGCACCAGCAGCAATCGGTTCCGATGGCCAGGTAGTCCATCTCATTATGGCGGCAGCAGCGTGCCCATGACACCTGCCACGCCTTTCACCGTAATGTCAGACAACAGTGTTGAGCATTCAAGTGTTGCACACCAGACCGGCATGAGGTTCATCCATGCTGAACCTTTGAGCCCCAAAGATGAGAGACTTTTGTCTCAGACAATTGAGAAGACATCCAAGAAGTTCAAGCTGGGGTATGTAGATCCTCAAGGTATCTTCGCCCGCAATCGCTAACCACCAGATCAGATCCGAATGGCTCTCCCGACCAGTCTCAGCCTCTTCCCTCTCCCTCCCTCCAGATCTCATCCGCCTCTCGCTCTCACAAAACCAGCCCCTCTTCACCTCATCCCACCTCAATCTCCTCTCACTCGACTCCCTCTACACCTTCCGCACAGCCTTCCAAGCCTACGCCCGCACCCGCTCCTCCTACCGCCTGGAAGACGCCGTCGACGAGCTCCGCCGCCTCTACCTCTCCAACGGCCGGCGTCCTCTACTCAAGAGCATCCTCCTCAACTCTTACCGATGGCTCGACCCCATCTGCGACCACTCCCTAAGCCAGGTCTGCCGCATGTACGAGCGTGCCTACGGCGGCAACGTCATCAGAGACGACACTAAAGATGCCAGCGGCGCAGCATGGCCATTAGTAGCCGAAGACAAAGAAATTCTTTTCACGCTCAACTCCCCGACCGACTCGGAAACCGAAGATGATGATGATCTTGACGATGACGAAAAGTTTGACCTCAAGGCGATAGAAGCATGGTACCGCACCACCTCCTTCCATCATCACCACCAACCACCACCACCACCGCCAAGAGAGCGAGAAAGGACAGTCCTCAGAATCGACCCCCTCCGCTCTCACCCTTCCAATTCCCCGCATGATATCCTTTTGCCATCTCCCGTCCGTCCAGCTCCTGTCCCTATCCCGGAAGAAAGGAGGACAACAACACCTAAACTCTTCCCCGCCCCACCAGGGAGAAACCCAGCGTTGTTGCAGTTGAAACTGCAAACCACCTTTGAGAAACGTCTCCCTTTGCCCCCAAGAGAGGAGGAAACTCACTCCCCCATCTCAGAAAAAGAAGAAGAAGAAGAAGAAGAAGAAGAGCACACCGCCCGTCCCCAAAGCGCGGTTAGATCGTTCCCTCCTCCTACCATTTTGACTACTGCCAAACCGGGGAACGGCTCCGCTCCCCCATCAGCCCAGTGGTCAAAAACCAGTTTTTCCCTCAACGAAATCATGCTCTCACCCGACGGGTCAGGGTCAGGGTCAGGTGGGGTAGGTGATAACGAACCAGAAGAAAGGGAAAGAGTCGGACCTCTAACACCAAACGGCTACGACGACATCAGCCCCATCACCAGAGGAGAGTGGGGGTTTTTGTTCCCTGTCGTGGCGGAGAGGCAGAGGATGGTCAGGGTCGAGACTTGTACTTAGGTGATAAACAACCGGGTTGGAGAGATGATTTAGTTTTTATATACATATATATATTCACACCTACTTATTTACCCGCCCCGCCTGTCCGTATGACAGACAACAAAACATCATGCATTCTCCAACAGCACAAGGTGAATGAATTTGGAGCTTATACATACCCACCCACCCGTCGTTTTCTATCTACACCACCAACCACCGCAAAACAACAGGGCAGTAAGTGGTACAGCGCAAGATATCTCTCACAAAACCTCCTCAATCTCTTAATCTATGGAAGTTAGGTATTCTGACCCCGAGTATCAGGAAAAACCCAAACCTAGAAAAAACCCCCTCTTAAACCCCAACCAACCCCTGTGGGATTCTTTGCTCTTTCCTGGTCTGGGTGGGTGGGTGTTTCTTCCCGCCGCCCCCCAAAATGCCCTTCAGTCACCACTAACCATGAAATAATAAACCCATTGTGTGAATACCTAAAACAAAACCTCGCTGGGCCTCTCAAACCAAAAGGTCTAGGAGAGAAAAGAGAATACATTGACAGAACCAACGCCCCCACCAACCCAGAACCCAAAACCCAAAGACAGACCATAAGAAAAAGAGAACCGAGTTCATTCCCAATGCTCACCCCCTAGATGAGATGCCAGATTTAATTAACAAAACCCTCTTCCACCCTTTCTCCCCCCATCATGTGCAAGGCGTGAGCTCTTCTCCCTTAAAAAAACGCCATCGCTTTCACCAAACAAAAACAAAATTCTCGCAAGGAGCGCTGAATTCAAGTTGAGAGATCTTATTGATCATGTCCTTTCGTTTGGCCTCTTCTACGAGAAGGAAAAATGGCGTCTTTTCGCTGACGACGACTCTTCATCAAAAGAAGCCGCAAGGGAGAAAAAAAAAGTAATAATTATAATGAAAAGGTAAATCAATCCATCATAGAAAAAGGGGGGGGGCCTCAATTCGATGGTCGAGTTTCAACCCGGCGTGGGTCAGCGTGCGAATCCATCCATCTTCACTGCAAGTCCACATCCTGCAGTGCGGCGTTTGCCGCAAAGACGCCAAAGCTGTCGAGCTGCCCAGAGCAGATCGATGAGTTCTCCCAGTCTGCAAATAAGGCTTGGTCATCAGCCAGCCGTGTTGCTGGAGGCGATGCTGGATGAGTCACTGTAGTACATACCCGAGCCGTCTTCCTCAAGCTCCTCGACGACTGTAAGTCTCGTCACCGACTCCAAGATCACTGCGCTGGCTGTTAGCGTCTGATAAATTAAACAGGTCTCAGGCATCTCGGTGCTCACCCGTGCTAAGCTCGGTGAACTCTTGGCCCTGCTTGTCTTCAGCCGGGTTTTCGAGGTCGAAGTACTTCCTGCACTTGGTGATCACTCGCTGTAAGCTTGCGACAACATGCTGGGAGACATCGGCATTTCGGATAACATAGTTGTCGCGTAGGTAGTAGAGACACTGCAGACCAAGTGCCCTGGCAGTCTGGTTCATCCTTTCAGCCATACCCATGCCCTCATCTTCGTCCGAATCCTCCTCGGATATGATGTTCTCGGCTTGCACAGTATAGGTGCGGTGAGTGAAAAGCCTCTCTTGCAAGAACTGCTCGACTTCTGCCCCGACAGCCGGTTCATAATAGCCAAGCAAGCTGGGGGCCCATTCCACCAAGTTCTCAAGACCGATCAGATGGATATCTTCCTCGTTCTCTCCCGAACACTCTCTCGGACCATCAAATGCTATCCGCTGGAAATCCAAAAACGCCTTGCCCTCTGCAGTCTGTAGGCTTTTACATTCCTGGGTCACATGGCGGATCAAGTCGTTGACCATCCCGAATCCGCTGGCGTAACGAAGAAAGATCTGACCAGCCACCTTGAGATAGGGTGCGGATAGTGTGCCATGCGAAGTGCTGCCACTGATCCCCTGACGCAACGTCCTATAGATTGCTTCCTCCATCTGCAGACTCTGCTTCATCAGATTTGTGAGAATCGAGTGGGTGGCCTTTTCGTTCTGTCCAATCAGGATAAGTCGATCCACAAAGATATTGCACCCGTACTTGGGCCACTCCATCCACAGGACTTTGGCTTCCGCGTTGGTCATGGTGAGCGTCGAGCCCGAGTCAGCTTGTTGACGAGCATAACGGGTCCTATCGTGGGGCTCCGTTATCGGCACTCGTGCGAGCACGTAGTCCAGCAGAGCGAGGATGGCTTCGTAGGACGGCGTTCGAGTCTGTTGTCTCCGAGAGACTGCCCCGGCCATCCTGTAAATCTGTGGTGGCAAGTCGCCGAGGCCAGGATCGGCTGCTATAATCCACAGTAGTGACTCGAGGTGGCCGTGTCCAACGAAGCCCGCGAGTTCTTTAGGACCAAGCTGCACGAAAGCCAGCATGAAACCGAACACTTCAGGCCATGATCGAAGGTTGGTGTGGAAGTGAAGCCAGAGCTGGTTGATCAACGTCAGGATTGTCTCAATGTCCGTAGATCCGCCCTCGTCGGATGCGTCATCTTCGCCAACCTCTGTTCCTGGCCCATAATAGAACGAAGGGATTTGCTCCTTGACAGTCTGAATGGTTCGGAGCACTAGGTTGCCAACGCCTTGGCGAACATCAGGATCGACATTTCTCTGGAGCATCACCCTAAAAGTCTCCGGAGTCTCGTCAAAGTACTTGATGAGAAGGTGAGAGCAGCACCCGCAGCTCTGAACCAGGTTTTGAATGCGGGCAGCAAGTTCAGAGAAGTGAGGAGTGTCCTTGACGCGGGACGCAACCTGATCCAAGTGCCCAATCGCCATCCACAGAGCCGTGGTCTCCAGGCTATGGCCATCGCTACACAGCGGCTGGATCGTCCTGAGGCGTATCAGAGCCGAGATCACAAACTGGATTTGGTATGGGTCAAACAAGCAATGCCTCCGGAGCAATAACGTGTTTTGCTCATGGATGGACCCCTCCAAGCGGTCTGGCACCGGCACGCGAAGTGGCACCGAAAGCTTGGCTTGCTGAAGGTACTTTTGCTGACTTGCTGCCAGAGATGATGCTCGCTCGTAGAACAGCATGTAAGCGCTGTATTGCTTGTCGTACTGAACGCCGTTGGACTGATACTGTACCGAGTAATCCGGACCCCCGAAACAGGCATGTTCCAAGTTCGCTGGGTTCCAGGCCGTCACTACATCGTCGTTGAATTCGATCCAAGTCGGCTGCTCGCTGCTGCTTGGGCGCTCGCGAGTATACGAGTAGTAGTGGCCCGATTCTGCTGTTCCAGAATGAACCAAGACACCCACGAGCTCGAAGACGTCCTCGAATCCCTCACCCTCGGCCGAGGGGTTGCTGAGGTGATCAATCGTGTAGGGTCTCATATCGATCTTGTCCGGAAACTCAAAGTGCTGATTGATCTTGTTTCGTTGCATGGAGCGCAGGTTGAAGTCAAAGCGCTTCAAGTGGAAGATGAGGCTGTCTGGTATGTCTTTTAGGCAGGCCCTCTTTACGGCGTTGACATGACGGTCACAGGTTGAGCACTTGTACTTGTTGTCTCCTTCCATGACCTCACCCTTGACATAGGCCTCCAGGCTCTTAGCCAAAGAGTTGTTGCCTTTGACGTCGCATTGGATTGCCGAAAAGGGTTCCAGTCGTTCAGAGATGTGGGGACACTCTGTAGACCGGACTTGCTGCACAAGTTGGCCACCGTAAAACGAGCGGAACCGGGTCTTGTCCTCTGGTGTAGAGAACTGTCCTTCCCAGCGATCAAACAACAGGTTGTAGAACTCGTCCACATCCATTTGAACGCCAACATCAATCTGACTATCCTCATATGTCTTGATGCTGGCCACGCACTCCTCGGGGTTGCAGGAGCGCGCGATGCTGTCCTGCATTTGCGCAAAGACTTTCTGCGTCTGGACAAGAAGAGCCTGTGCATAGCGAGGATCCCTAACTTTAGCGCCCAGCATAAATCTTCGAAATTCGTGGTTCATGAACAGCTGTGTAAACAACGAATTGAAATAGCAGGTGTTTGAGAGATTTCGGAGGCCCTGGTAACCACAAGGTGCCCGTATAGCCTTTTCCCTCTCGAACTGCTGGGGTAATTCGTAGTGATATAAGTCTTCATCGCTACGGGGATGAAGAAGAACCAAATCATGCATGGCATCGAGAATCCCTTGCAGATCGCCCGGATGGGCATCAAGTGTTGCTAATATGATGCTCATCAGGTTGGCTCGGGTGTGGGGTGTAAGAATCGGCGGTCCAGACACATAGTCTCGTATCTCGTCCATAGAATTGAAGAGGTGTTTCCAAAATAGATCCAGCCCCATCTCCGGCTCTGCTGGGAGGAGTTCCCTTCGCTGCGCGCCCGTGTAGCTGTTGATCAGGGCGTCCACCAGCCGAACAAGAAGACTGGCCACCTGATCGGTGACGTGGGGCTTGGTCACATCCTCGGTGGTGTCATATGCGGCCAACAGGTCAAACCACTGACGCGACAGCTTTCCAACCTCGAGGAGCTCTGGCTGTGCGCTCCTCACTGCTCTGAAGAGGTCCAGACATAAGTTGAGCACCTCAATTGACCGATTCCTGACTGCAGGTTCTACAAGCCCGCATACCAGTGGCCAGAACAGCTTCCTGAAAGCCGTAGCTCTGGTGCGGGCAGGATGACCCTCGAATGAGTCCTCCATCCCACACTTTTGTCGGATGAGCGCGGCAGTTTTCTTGCTGACCGGCGAGCAAGGTTCATGAAGTAACATTCTCTCGATCAGAGGGGGAACTTCTGGTTTGGCGCAGAACGCAGCCATAAAGGCTTCGCTCAAACAACAAGCCTCAAGAATGCTCTGGAAGCATCTCCTCACATGAGCGGGCGGACACCCCGAGACCGCAGCGGCCAGATTTGTCAAGAGTCGTGATAGCAAGGCCTCGTCGAGGTACTGAGATGCTTCCTCTGGTAGCTCCGGTTCGGTTGAAAGAGACACAAACATGTCCAAAAGAGCCGTTTCCAACTCGGTCCGCAGCTCGTGGCTCGGGCACTGGGATGCCACATCATGTGAGATTGCGGGAACAACCAGCGACATGACCCGGGTCAGTGAGTCTGCATACATGCGAAGTGACTCGTGCGTATTCTCGCAACCTGCATCGAATTTCGCCACGTTCAGACGTTTACAACGGTCAGACAGGTACTCTCGAAGTGCGTACACGGCATAGAGCGACTTGAAGGATTGGCCCACGGGGAACAGATCTTGATAAGAAAGCGAAGGCGTGTCGATGGCCTTGAGTATGCCTTCGTCAGCAGGTAGCTTTACCAAGAAGACGTAGATCTACACGGTCGTGTTGGTTAGCAGTTATTCCACCGAGTTGGGTGACCGGCTCTTACCTCACGAGCCAACTTCTCCTCCAGAGACAAGTATCCCCAAAGCTCTTCAAAGTGCCCGAGGATTTCGACATCTACCGCAGATGCACCTGGTCGGGCTCTTGCCGACACAACTGTCTCGGAATCCTTCTTGACCAGGATGAGGCCGTTGTGAATCTGGAGATCTTCGAGAGACTTGCAGATCTGGTCTTCTGTGGGTACAAAGGGAGCTCCGCGGTAGTACATTCTGTAATTGTTGAACCCTGTTACTTGGCGGATACTAGCCAGAAGGGACGCTGTCGTGTTGAGCTTGCCAATGCTAAGTGGCTGAACGGGAGTCTGGGTGGTTTCGTCGAATGACTGGTACTTGAGCTCGGCCGACTCGCCCTCCACGTCTCGCGGCGGGTCTAGAATCAGAGATTGCAAATCCGGGGCACAGAAGGCAGGCTTTTCCTGATGAAGCCGATGAAACTCTCGCAGAACGCTCAGGGAACGCACAAAAATCAGGTCTTGCTCCTGCACCTCCTGATACGAGGGCACGACATCCATAGCATCGGCATCATCACTAGCGATGCTGCTCTCTGCAAATGACTTGAGTCTTGAGGCAGCCCCTGACAGCTGCCGCAGACACCGCCGGACAAGGCCCAGGTGCACCTTCCTGGCACGGTAATAAGAAAATGTTAGGATGGACTTGCTCTCGATGTAGACATCCCGAACAAGTGTGCGGATTGCATGTTTGGCGACGGTGCTGTTGGGTAACGCGGTCAGAACTATGTGCCACAAAAGTTCGATTCCCGCATGATCAACACTCTCTTCATCATCGAGCACAATGCTCCCGGGGTCATTGACCAGAGGCAACACTTTGGCACGGACGAAGTCGAGAGTGCCCTGGCAAAAGAACTCGGGCTCCAGGGTCGGAAGATAATCGGTGAAGCAGGTTGACGTGAACCGATTCTCAATTTGAGTCTGCTCCGATGCACTCAAGAGAAGCTCCCATGCGGCATCCCTGTCTTGTTGACAGGATGCTCCAGGCCCCACCAGGAGCTGCCATAGCTTGAGTCCCAGTTCCTTCGTTACGAGTCCGTTCTTGTGCCTAATGAGGGCTCCAAGAAGCTCTCTCCGCGGCAGGTTGTGGGCTCCACTGAGGACGGCGGGGAATCCTGCGGCATGAGCTGCCGGAATAGCAGCTTCAAGCTCCTCCACCAAGAGCCTCGGAAGGTCATTCTCCTGGGCCAGCAATATGAAATTTTGTTGAATTTGATTCCGTGCCATAAGATGTAGTACCCATAAGCTTCCGATGGCTGACCAGGTTGGATGGGCAATATCATTCAAGCAGTCCATGACGATGGCCCGCCGAATATCGATCGTGGGGCCGTGTCCGTGTGTTAAAAGCTCACGAAACTTCTTTATAGCAGCCTCCTGCAGGAGGGGATGAGCCACTGGCGAGTGTGGGCCAAAACAGGATGATTCCTTGATTAGTCGCGTACACAGCTCGTAGGGAGGTGGGTCTGGAATCGTGCGGTGCTCGCGGGTCTTCTCCATGAGCTGCTGAAGAATACCCAGCAACAGCAGCCGCATCGGTTCTGTAAAGGAATCGGCAGGGACCGTGTTGAGCTTCTCGCAGAGATGTAGCAGCACGTCGTACGGTAACAGGTGCGTGTACCGAGTACACATGAGAATCAAGGCATCTGATATCCGGGTGTCTTGTGTGGTCGTGACAGTGTGCCACCAGGTGTCCGTATGCTCGTTGCTGTAAGTGCGTGATACCACGAGGAAGCCGATGATGTTATGACTTTCGGCTGCAATCTCTGGGTGGCATGTCGGCCCTAGAAGGTACTTAACCAAGCCAGTTTGAAGGAGGTACTCCCCGTAAAAACGCATCGTTGTCATGTTTGGCGTCTCTCCTTGCTCGTGATATTTCTTGTACATGCCGATCAAGTCGTTGCACATGTGATGGGCAGCCATGACGCGGAGTTGCATTTGGCCGGATTTGATAAGCCTGACAAAGATATTGAACTTCCAGAGGTGCGCTATGGCTTCAGGCAGGTGCGAGGTGGCAAGCATCGGGTGTGTTCGTCGGAAATTGGCAATGATCTCGTGAGGAACAACATCGTCGACGTGAAGAGCAATCTGGTAGATTTCTGTGAGAGCCGCGAGGAGAGTGGCAGCATTTTCGGGCGAGAAGTGATTCGGTCCCTTGTCCACAAAGGTGGACAGAGATGTTGACATGTGAAGAAAGAAGTGGTAGCCGCGAGCAATGAGGGCTCTGGCACGCTGAGCCGCCTGCGGGCTATCGTGACTGTGCACGAAGAAACAGCGGCCCAGGACGGCCGTGGCGAGCGAGCTCAGATTGGTGACATGATCCGCAAGCTTCGGGTATTGGGGGATGAGCTCTACCTCCGCCTTGGCCAGGTTCAACACATGGGTGAGAGTGCCGCCCGGTGTTGTGTTGTAGCTCTGGAAGCAGCCAATGACCTGCTGCAGTTCGGTGTAAAACTCGTCCTCGGCGCGCTGATAATTCTCTTGTCCTCTTTTCCGTACCAGTGCTGCAAGGGCGGATACATAGGCTGGCGTGATGGGCTCACGGAGCCGAATTCCTTGCTCGTCCGCCACGATCTTCTCGAAGTCATAAGCATCCTTCTTGACGAAGAAGGCGGTCAACTTGGCGAACCACTTGTAGAACTGAAAGATTTCGGCTCGAAATTCCTTTTGCGGCGGGTAAACACGGCCTACCATGACGCAGACAATGTCAGGCAAGTTCAGCCACAGATCCAGATGTTGAAGGAACGATATCACAAATCTCTTGTGCGAGGAGTTCTCTGCAAAGACCAAATAGTCTTCAATGAACTCCTGGAGCTTTTGGGCTATTTGGATGTCTGGCAATGGTGTTTAGTACTTGACTTGAAGCCAACTGCTGTGGTTGGTAAGACTTACGGTTTGCAAAGTAGTTCGTGGCTTTGGTCACCGCATCCAGCCACGAATCATGGTCTTCGCGACAAGGGAAATTCAAAGTGGGATCTTGGTATGAATCGAAGCCGATGGGGTCTTGCTCGTTTCCATCCAGAATGGCGATAGACCCACCATCCTCAAAATCATCGTCCTCATCTGGTGGTATCGCTATCACCTCAACTGGCGGACTGCTGTGTCCCGACGCCGACGACACCGGGGTATCCTGCGCAGCATCCTCCTGGGCCATGTCAAGCTCCGAATCCTCAATGCTCAGCTTGACGACATTGGTGGGCGAGGCAGGGGTGGCTGCCCTGAAGGATGGTGATAACGGGGAGTCTGGAGAAGCTCCGGGTAGACGCGAAGGAGTCCTCACGTTGATTGTGACGTGCCTAGATGTCAATGCTGAAGGAGGCTCGGCATCGAGGTCGAGGGGCTTCTGCTCGGGGGTGGTAGGTATTGTGGAAATGGTAGGGTCAGAGTCGACCTTCATGGCCGAGTCACTCTTCAAAGCAGCTGCCGGGACCTCACCGGCAGCAGGCGAGGGCGGAGACGATATTATCGTATCTACCGACCGGCTTCGGGAAACACTGTTGAGAGAGGTACGGCGACGTTTCCGTGACGAGATATCGCTGTCGTCGAAGGGATTGGGGCGGGTCGAGCAGGGCTCAGAAGAGACGGCACGATCTCGCGAGTCTTCTGGTTGCAGAGCTCCAGCCATCTGGCTTGTGCAAAGTAAATACCTGGTAAAGCTGCTGCTTGGGCTCCACTACGGAGGGAGCTGCGCTCGAGGAGACCCGGCGGCAGCTGTTCAGGGCTTGACGTGTTAGCATGTGGTGGTTTGCTAGGTGGGGGCGGGCGGATTGCTCTATGTGTGCTATATGTGGTGGTGTTGGTGGTGGTGGGTGCACGGGCAATTAAGCAGCGGAAAAGAAAACCAGAGCTTCCAAAGAGCGGAAGCTCTGAGATGGCTTTGGTGGCGGTAAGCGAACGTGAGCAGGCCAGGGCAGATATGCCTTGAGCCAAGCAGAACCTTGTCCGAAGCTCAAACAATTCAGCAAAAAAGGGCTTGTTTGTCTGGCTTTCACGGCCAACTTAACCGCGTTGCAGAAAAGCGTGACGCCTTTTTGGTGGTGCTGAAAAGTAGGTGTGGGGGAGGGGAGGTTGAGCTTTGGGGGAGGTCTGATGTAAGTGGTAAACGGGACCTGGACTGTGAAGCGACAAGCGAGCGGAAGACCCTCGGTGGAGAGCTGGCTAGGCTACAGGGCTAGCGCCGAACAGGCAGACAGGCGGGCTGGGACTGACGGAGCAGCAGAGCACCTAGCCAGCATGGAAAACTGAGCGCAAAGACAAGACGGAACTCACCTTGATTCCAGTCGGGACCTGACGAATGATGATGATGGATGGCCGGAGTACATGTGTGAGGGAGAGAGAGCTATGGCCAGATGAACGGGAGCTGATCGGATGCTGTACTGGACAATCTGGATGATGCCGATGCTCGATGGATGAGGGATGGCGAGACTGGCCCGTGGGTACTCTTCCAGTCTTTCTTTTGCAAGAGTGAATCGAAGTTATCGGATGTGGGGCAGCGAACCTACACTAAGCGGACCTGGGGGACAAGGCGGGGCAGGGTGGGGCAGACCTCTGTATTTAGTGACGGCTTCGAGAAAGATGCAGCCTTCTTTTTTCAGCTGTTCTTCAATTGGGATGCAGATCTATACCAGGCAGGTGAAACAGCTTCCATGTATGATTATTGTTGAGGGTTTGAGAGCAATGGGAGGCTGCTACGAGCTGCTCTTCTCTCAGCTGGTACTTGAGAAGCTAGGTAGCTTTCCGCGCCAAATGGAAGCATCCACAGCCCCGGCACTCCAGCTGTTTGTGCGTACGTCATCAACTCCACGGTGCTGGAAGAACACCTAGCTACGGCTTTTTATCAACCATTCGTATCGAGGAGGTCAGTTATTATGCTGTGCTCGTTTATTTTATTTTTATTTCTTTTTTTGCCTTTTTGTCTTCGAGATCTTCAGCTGCCTATCTATTAAATCATTCCGACACGCACACGCGTACCTAGATACGTAGTATCTTGTAGGGTTGCATTCTGGAAGAGAAGGCTCGGGATCTTCTTTGTCAACAGCTGTCTTTCATCTTTGCTGCCCTGCCACTCATCCGTGCCCCATTCAAGTCCTTCTCGGATCTTGCAGACGGGGGCTCAAATGACTACTTGACTGAGATTGACACATGCAAGAATCCGTTGAGGGAGTACCAAACCCAGCATGCAGCCCCTCTGTGAGATGCTTCCGAGTTCAAGTGACAACCTGGAAGATATCTGCCAAGCAAATCAGCTTGAGAATTGTGGGCCGCCGCCGTTCGCTGACACCTGCTGGCTCGGCCCGGCTCGTTGGAACCAAAGTTTCATTCTGTCTCCGCCGCCGCCGCCGCCAAAAAAAAAAAGTAAACTCAATTCAGTACGCCAAGACATCGAAATACTGTAGATGTACCTACTGCGTAAACCGAGAAACTCTGACTCCTCTTTTTTTTTTTTTTCCCAGTATCCCCTTCTGCAAGATACCAGTATCAAAGCCAACCAAACAATGGAACGCAAAAGAATTGTCCACACGTTGGACACCCCATTTTCTGTCGTCGAGTGGTATGGAACGGCCCATGAGTTCTTTGTCACAACCCGACCCGTATGTTGACCGGTACCACCACAGGCCACAAATAAGTCAAGAAGACCAAGATGTAATTTTGGAGCTCCTCTGCCAGTGCGTTGTTTCTCTCGTACCCGTGACTCTAGATGTCTCATCTCAAGTCTCTGACTAACCTCGCCTTCAGTTTGCTTTCGCCTCTTGGGACTCATCGAAGATTATTTGTCACGCCATCAAAAGGCATGAGAGATCGAAAACGCAAGCGTGCCCAAGATGAAGACCCTGTTCCCCCAACTCCGGAGCTTGCTGGATACGTAGACGTGGGCCTGTCTCATATCTCCAGGACTCTCCAAACCATGTCTGGCAAGGACGCGAAGCCGTACAGCGTCGTCTTCGTGGCCCGGTCTGGTCAGTCGTCCGCGTTTCACTGCCATTTTCCCCAGATGGTTGCGCTCGCTTCTCGGTCTCAGCCGCCAGAAAAGGCTGTCAGGTTGGTTGGTATCTCCAAGGCATGTGAGGACAAACTGAGCGCAGCCCTGGGCATTCCTCGAGTTTCCAGCATAGCTCTGCGAGAAGATGCTCCGCAGGCCAAAGGTCTTGTGGACTTTGTGCGAGAGCACGTCAAGCCAGTTGAGGTTGCATGGCTCAAAGAGGCCCGAGCAGGCCAATATCTCGACACCAAAATCGACGCCGTGCCTACCAAGATAGGCGTCAAGAAGAAGGCTTGATCGGCCTGTGATATTTGACGCAAGAACAAACTGCAACAAGCTTGTTTTCTTTGCCTCCCAACTTATACTGGTCACTTGCAGCAAACCGAGCACAGTCATCTTGGGAGACAACATGTTGTCCTTCCACAGGCACTGTCTTGTTGGACTCTCGTCATTCATTAGGTCCGCGCTCCAGAGATAGCCTTCACCTATACTTTGGCCGGCTAGTTCGCAGGATTTGTTGCCACTACGGAAAAATAAATCAATATGGATGGCAGACCACCTACTGAGGGCCCCAACCAAGCCAAAAGTGCTGGAGCTTCTGATGCTCGACGTACCTCTGATGATCCTGACAAGCCTGACCCTGAGCTTTTGGCACTGATGAGGAACAGCGTGAGATATCTCACACTTACAGAGTCGCAGGATGACGACAACAATAGAAACCGGCCAACCGGGCACGAATCGCGCTCTCCTCCTTTACCCCCTCAACCAGAACCAACGCCCACGTCAACTGCCGCTCCTACTCCCTCCGGAACACCGGGCACCGCCAGTCTCCTTCCCCAGGTCCGCCGGTTCAAGACGTTTATGACGCAGGAAGAAATTGACGAACACAAGACAACAGCCCCAACCCACATCGCCGACTTTCTACCACCACCAAACAATCATCCCGAAGATGATAACACTCCCAAATCACCCCATCCCACCACTCCTCCCGGGTCAGGCGGCATCAGCATCCCCGTGTGCCTCCCCTTTCGGCCAATCACTAAAAAGCTCGATGCGGTGGAGGAGCAGCAGAGCCAAGAGCCAAAGCAGGAGGCATCAACACCCGCCCCACACAAACGAAACAAGAGTCACGGCGACCACATCGACTCCGCCATCCGCACCCGTCTCCCGGATTCTGCCTCTCCCAAGCCCAGGGCAAATTCCGAGGGGGTCTCCATCCCGACTCCTACACGCCCCCCTCCCCCTCCACCGGTAGAAGCACAGCTCAGGTCCTCTGTTGGCACTATGGATACGGACAAGACCCCAAAGAAGGTGGTCAGTCCTAGTTTTAGGCGTTTGATGGAGAGGGAGCTTTCTTCTGGTGGTCCAAGTCTGACTCTAGCTGGTCCATCGAGTGCGGGTCCTTCTTCAGCTGGCGCAAGAGGGGCAAGGGGTACCGTGATCAAGGATCCGTCTGGGAGGATCTTTGATATCGAGTTTATGAGGAAAAAATGGCAGGATGCCGCGGTTGCGGAGACGAAACAAGCTGCTGCTGGGGTGGAGAAGACGTTGATGGGGATCAGTGAGACATTGAAGAGCATTCGACTGGACCATGCTGATGAAAAGGACGAGAAGGTCAAGGTTCAGAAGGCTGATAAAGGCGAGGAGGAGGAGAAGAAGAAGAAAGATGATGGAGACGGTAAAGACGATGAGAAGAAATTACAAGGCCCCAAGGAGAAAGATGGTGGTGGTGATGCCACGGCATAGGAAGGGTTAGGGTTGGAATCTGGCAGACAAAAAAAAAGAGCGCTGAAAATAGACTTTTGATTTGACATGACCGATTTTCCACCTCGACTCCATGTGGAACTCTGACGTGATGAGCTAATGGAAATGGCTGAGAGTGACGCCAAGTTACCAAACTTCCATATCTTCAGGTTGACTCTAGAGTCCAAAACGAGGCGTTGCCATCACCAGTTATCTGAGCAATATAAAAGTGACTCAATGCAGGGCACGAGACTAGGGCTCGTAAAACTTTGGTATCTATGCACAACTACGCATATGCCGCCCTCCCCAATGCAGAAAGCCAAAGCCAGACCAACCAGCCCACAACTCCATGCCGCAAAAGAACAACAAAAATTAGAATCGGCTGATACCCCGTCCAAAGATCCAGGAGATTACCCAGTAAATCGGCACGAGCAACTTATTCCTCCACGACATCGCCTTGGTGAGATAGGCTCCCCTCCAAAGGACCCATGCCACCCACCCCTTGAGCTCATCGGCCTTGCTCTGGTGAATGGCCTTCCACCCACCCAGATACGTCATCGTCCCCCAATTCCTGAACTTGAACTCCTTCCCGTCCTGACCTGGTGAAATCCCCTTGTTCAGCTCCTTAGCCAGATACTGCGCCTCCTGAGCAGCAACCTGCGCCGTCTTTGGGAGGGGGTCATGCTCGATAAAACTGCAATCTCCAATGACGTACACCCCATCCAACGGCTTCTTCTCCAACTCATTTCCTTCCTCAGGCTTAGCATCAGCATCCACGCTCAAAGCCCTCATATACCCATCCACCACCAACCCCCCACTCCTCTTGTCCCTAACCAACCTCCTCCTCTCCAGCACCTCCCCCGTCATCGGATTCTTACTCTTACTCACCACCACCTCCTTCTCAGCCAACTTTGCAATCAGAGGATTAGCCATCAACCCCGTACTCCAAACCACCATCCCGGCCCCAACCTCCCCCCCATTCTCCTCGACTTCCCTAATCTTGATCCGCACCGCCCCGTGCCGTCTCCCCAACTTCCCATCCGCAAGCCTGATCCTTTCCAGATGGTGCTCCGTCTTGACCTCGATCCCCTGCCTGGCAAAATGCCCCATCGCATAATCCGCCAAAGCCTTGTCAAACATCGGCAGCACCTTTGGCGCGACATCATAAACCGTGATTTTGACAAAGCGCATCAGCTCGGGGTACATCTTTCCCAAATCGTCACGGATAAAATCGTGGAGCTCAGCCGCCCATTCGATCCCCGTCGGACCGCCGCCCACAACGGCAAAGTGCAACAAAGCCCTCTTGTCATCATCGGTAAGAACATGCCCGTTGCTGTTGGGGCTGCTGCTGCTGGGGTAAGAGCACTGCTCAAACAGGCTCAACACCCGTAGCCTCACCCTCCTAGCATCACCAATATCCCTCAGGAAATGGGCATGCTCCCTTACCCCCTCAATCCCAAACGTCTGGCTGTAGGCTCCGCACGCAATGATCAGCTTGTCGTACTGGACCTCGATAACCTCTCCCTTGTCCCGGAGCGGGATTTGCCCTCCGGGGGGTGGGACGACAGTTTTGGAGGCGGCTTCCTCGGCGGCGTTGGTCTCGACGGTGATAGTCTTGCGGGAGAAGTCAATCTCGTCTGCCCAGCCTTGGTAGAAGTTGATGTTGCCGCCGGGGAGGCGGCGGACGGGCTCGAGGATGGTGCGGAACTCGAGGGTGCCGACCGAGGTGGAGGCGAGGAGGGGGGTGAAGACGAAGTAGGGGCGGGGGGAGATTATGATGCGGTCGTATTTGGTGGGGGAGAGGGTGCGGGCTAGGGAGTAGCCTGCCCAGCCGGAGCCGAGGATGATTACCTTTTCTTTGGTGGGGGGGCCTGAGGGGGGTGTTAAGAGATTGTGAGGGAGGGGGAAAAGGGGGGGGGCTGACCTTTCTTGAAGCTAAAGTTCCGGGAGGAGACTAAAGAGGCGGGAGCTAGAGAGGTTGAGAGGGAGAGTTGACGGGGTGAGGAGCCGGTCAGCCCCCGTGGGAGGGACCGGGTGAGGGAAGAGGGCATCTGAGTTGGTGATGTGTGGTGAAGTCGCAATATGAAGCAGCTTGTTTGTATAAGGTGGGTAGCACGAGGAAGGTTGAGGTAAGTCGAGAATGTATCAAACCAACTCTGGTTTGCTTGCCACCAGCGTATCGAAGAAAAAGAAACAACTCAAAAAGATGACACGACAGCTAAAGCTAGCAAGAACGACAAGCAAGAGCAAGTAAGAACAGACAAGACGTCATGGAACGAAGAAAAAGTAGGGGTCCATCTTCAAGCTTATAAGAGCTTGCTGTCAGTCAGCACGCGAGTACCGGGAGAGAAAAACTTTCTATTCCTGGCTGGCCTCCATCGGGATTGTCTAACTAACCCCTGGGGGACCCTGATGAATCACAGGTCGATTTTTTCCCCCCCTCTGTTCTTCACGTTTCAAAAGAGTCATTGTTTCCCATATCCGGATACCGCGGCGGAGTGCGGGTCTACCCGTTGCAGCAGCAGGGCGAGCTCTGCGAACTTGACAGGTGCGCCGCCGCCGCCGCCACATTGTCGGGTCTGCTGGGAACCCCGTTGAGAGAAAGGGTCCAACAGAAGAAGCGCGGAAGAAGTCGTTGATGTCAAAAAGACGTCACGTCAATGGTCCGGAATCGGATTGGGGGGCACTGCTGAGAATATGTCTCCCGGGCTTTTCCGTCGCGAGCCCCGCGGGATACGAATAGTATGCAGTACGCAGGAAGACCGAAGACCCGAGGTTCTCCTCCTGCTGGTCTCGGTATTCTCGCAAAACAGGGCTTCCAGTATGAAAAAGAGAAGAGTCATGAAATGGGTGGGAAACGAAGGTGTCATTTCAAAAATTATGTGATATTATCCACAGAGGACGGGATCGGCGCCATCTGAATTTGTTGGAAGTGCCCCTCTTCTTCGGTACATAGTGTACAGCAAGGCTGCTTTAGCGGCGATGGTGGGGGTTTCGGGAATGTGCCAAGATGAGCCTCTGCCGGGAACCATACAGGTACGCTAGATTTCTCACCATCAAGGGGAAGCTGTCGACACGGATGATGGGTCCGGCACGCCCGGTCTCTTTGCGCAAAATTGCGGCTCTCTACGGAGTGTTCATCTTTGGCTTATCCGGTATGATCGGGATGGAGGCGTTGAGCGGTGTATATCTACTGGAGAGTGTCCCTGTCAGCATCTCTCGGTCCGGGCGAGTGTAAGACCTCAACAACTTGTGCTGGCTGAGAGGGTTGGGGAACTCCGATTCGGAGAAATATGGACAGTCCACGAGCTCAACGGCACAAAAGGGAGGGATTTCCTTGTGGGATTCAGCTTGCTGGCAGCTGAAGAGAGGATAGCCGAGCGTGAACCGATGGTTTTCCTTTTCCACCCATCTTCAACACCACATGCTTGGAGGAAGTCGACGAGATGTGGCTTGTGAGTCAATCCTCTGGATATCTCTCGGGAAACACCTTCTCCTCACATGTTTGGGAGGGAGAGCTGATACCTCACATGTCAAATCTGGGGCTATCAACATGTGGCCTGGAGGGTTGCTGGAAGATCGAATCAAGAGCCGCCATCCCTCGAGTCCAGGGGCCAATGGTTTTTCTTAAATATCATGGACTCGAAGGGTTCCCGAGACAAAACACCAAAGAGCCTCCCTGCAGTCCCAAGTGTTATCAGAGCAGCGGTGACCCTGGACAAAATAACCGGTACTGTAAGTCGGTAAAACATATAATATCTGTTAACTTGCACCCTTTTTAATAGATAATAGGCCTATTAGCTATCGTATAAGGCCTATTGACCACTTATTTTGCAGTGCCGGTTGTTTTTGTCCACGACGTGCCCGCAAGTATCCGCCTGTGGTCATAAATATTGCGTGCTTAGGCCGAGATTACCAAGTTACCCGAGGTGAGCGAGGCAAGGGAAACATACAGAAAGCAACATCAGACTGCTGCCATCCTGTTGCCCGGTGAGAAGAGACGCAGCCATCGTGGGAAAATACTCCCGTGCCGCTTGTTTGAGATGCAGGTGTCCAAAAGGTCAACAACCAAGGAAGAGCAATCGCAGGAATCACTTCCTTGATTGGAGGGCTGAGCCAGCTCTTGGCAGCAAAGACAGGGGGTCGGCCTGGCCTGAAGCAACTGTGGGGTTTCACGAGCAAGGGCAATATCAGGATGTTACCCCAGCAACACCACTTCTGGACGAACGAGGGGTCACAGCTCGTGTTTACTGCTGGTTGACCAATCACGACACCAGTCGCGGGACCGCCAGCCCAACCGAGAGCGACTTCCTTAAACACAACACCACAACGCACAAACCACATTCCCAAGACGGCGCGCCTGTTGTTCTCCGTCGTCTCCGTTGTCATCATCCCTCTCGCCGACTCCCCTTCTTTCGCCGCCAGCACCGGCATTCCAGTAATATATTGATTTTGTACCATTGCCCATTTGGCTCGGTAATACAGTTGTTACTTGGCCGTCCAGCAGCTATCTATCGCATTCGAGTTCGAGACACGACGCCCGCCTGCGTCTGCGACTGCGACAATCAAACCGCGTCTTTTTTTTTTTTTGCGACTGCGACGCCCGCTTTCTTCTTTTTCTGCCACTTTCTCGGCGCATTCTTCACAGCATCGCCAGCTGCTCGGTGATGCCCTCACCGCCTTTTTAGCGGCCTTCTCTTCAACATCACAGGCAAGCAAAAAGATAGCAATTCCACACATTGATGAGCAAAATGGAGCAAGAGGACCCTGTATGTCGCTGCTAGGGCACCAGCTTATATGGGCAACAGCAAACTAACAACAATGCGCCCGTTCAGGTACAGCCATTGCGCCTCTCCAAGGGGAGCAACGGCAGCGCGCCATCTCCTCAGTCGACTCGACCCAGCGGAATCCCTCGTCCGCTTTCCGAGATCTCACCCCACGAGAGACGTAGAAACTCTCCCAGCTGGAACCAGGCGACCCAGGTAAGACATCCGCATTGCTTGAGACCCTGCCGAGGATTGCGGCTGATGTGTGGTGGGTTCTGTGTAGAAACCAGCGACAATGACGGATTCTTCGCCATTCCAGTCGTCGCCCCTGGAGAACGTCACATCGCCCCGTCTCTTCTGGCAGAACCGCAGCTTCAACTCGGACGAGCGCACTGGCTCACCCACCCGCCGCTCATCCATCGAACGATTGCAAAAGGCTTCCCGCGTCAAGAACAGCAATCTCCGGGCCCTGGAGCAGAAGGAGGAGTACGACCCGGCCAAAATCCCCGATATCCAACGCCCTCTCTCTAAGATTCAGGGGAACAACTTTGGCGGCGGCGGCGTCAATGGTTTTCAGGGACGACCACTATTTGGCCACGGCAAGAGCCAGAGCACCACCAGCATCCCTATCCTGAACCCGCCCTCCCTGACGAAAGCAGCAACGATGCCGATTTCCACCTCGCCCATCCGGCCGACAACGCCCAGCAAGGAGTCCGGATCACCGCTGAAATCCTCTCTCTCGTCAAATCGATTCAAGAGCAGCTTTGATCACGAGACAGGAACGTGGTCCGATATATCTGGAGACGAGCGTCGTCTGCCCGAGGGCAAGTCGCTGCACCGCCATGCAAAGAGCGTCACTTTCGATCAAGCGCCTCCTCAAGTCAACGAGTACGAGATGGCCACCCCCGCTCCTTCTTCGATCGGCAGCAACTCGAGGGAGGGCAGCTATGATTCCACCGACGAGGACGATGACGATGACCATTACATGATTCACAACATGGACCAAGACGACAGCTTTGACGCGTCACTGGAGGATACCGACAAGACGCCTGTGGTGGGTCCCGATGACTGGAGGCACAACAATCACGAGGATCCGTTTGACAGAAGCCCAATGCCGGATGATCTGCCGCCCGTTCCTAGACCCCATCATCAGCGCACTGATTCATCGGCCTCCAATGGGGAAAGCCGCCCGCTGCCACCTCTCCCTGGCATGGACGGGACTTCAAGAAGCCTCCCTTCTCCTCCCTCCGCTTCCAAGTTGGAGGCTCAGGGTCTTGGTAACAGCAGGATGCCTCTGGAGGAGCGGTTGAAGCTTATGATGCTTTCTGACGATGGCAAGTCTGCGGCCGAGCAGCAACGTGAGCGTCGCATGCGCCGTGCTGGTGCCCGTGGTAGCCAGACACCCGATCACGAGTCTAAGAGCCCCGTTGTTCAGCCACAGGAAGACGAAGAGGAGCTTGACACTGTCGGCGAGCTTTCGGGTCTCGACGAGTACCAGCTGCCTCCGCGCATTTCTCGCGAGTCCATCCTCCGACGTGTTAATGGCAACAAGGCGCTGGACCGCGAGTCCGACTACAACTTTTCATCACCCGCCGTGGGCATGTCTCCCGACCGCCAAGTTTACGACCCCGACGTTCCCATTCCCAGCACCGAGGACAATGTTTCTGTTCTCGGCGACGAGCCAGTCTCTGTTTTGGATGATGAGTCGGATTACGACTCGGATCAAGGAAGCGTCATCATCAAGCGCGATCCTGCTGATCAGGAGTCTGACCTGTACTCGATTCCCGACACGTACGAACGGTCCGAGGTCACTGACGACTATTCTTCCGACTATGATAGCGACAGTCGGTTTGATGAGGAAAGCCAGTACTCCGAGGGGACGGACCTGCATGTGACCAAGTCATCACAGACTCAGGAGGATGATCAGGTTCCTACCCCCAGGGCAACTACTCCGGTGGATGAGCCCACTCCTCTGGTTCAAGAAGCCGAGAAGGCGCTCCCCGAGGCGCCCAAGGAAAACCGCCTGTCTAGGGGGTTGGAGGCTTCCTTGTTGCCCAAGCCTGAAGAGAAGGAGGCTGTTCCTGGGCCGGAGAAGGCTTCGCAACCCGAGCCCCTGCCACAGCCTGAGAAGAGGCCTCTTACCCCGGAGCTGCAGCTCAGACGATCTCTTACCAAGCCCGAGTACGACGGGACCGGGTGGGGAGAAGATGAGTTTGAGGAGTCCGATCCGGGCACTCCGGAATCGGTCATCCACCGGCCCATGCCAGACAGCGATGACGAAGAAGCCAGAGCCTCACCGGCCATTCCCGAGCAGATCGCGACCATCAAGTCCGCCTCTGGCTCCAAGCTCAAGACCAGGCCTTCTGCCACACCAGCTGACCTGGCCACCATGCGCGAGGCGCGCAGGCAAGTCAGTCGGGAGGTTCCCCCCATCCCCGACCGCCACAGGAACAGGCTCTCTGTCAACATGGACAACGAGCTGGCACCCCCCGCCGAGGACGACTACATGGACCGTCACCCGAGCTTTAAGAAGCGGAGCCTGACACTGGATCTCGACCTTGGCCTTAGCCTAGACAAGGACTTTGACCGGGTGATCGAAGCACAAAAGGTTGCGTCTGACCAGCTTTCCTTGATTCCCCCCTTTGATTTTTCTGCTGTTCACACTCCGAGCTTGGCGGAGGCGTTTTCTCCTGACAAGGAGGAGTTTTCTTTTGATCCTTCAGAAACTACTACTACGAATATTGGTGACGGTGATGCTAACAATAATACTCCACGAAAACAGCGCGGGTACCTCATGCGGCAGAACACAAAGGTCATCACTGCCAGTGATAAGATGACGGAGGACTTTAGGGCTCGGTCGGCGGGGAATAGCCCGACCAAGGTGGCGCAGAGGCCGCAGAGCTGGACGGTGGAGCCGTGGAACAGCCAGCCGGCTAGGAAGAGGAGCTTCAAGAAGAAGCCGAGTAACTTGGGCGCTTCCGGGCCCGTTCCCCCGCTGCCTGGGCAGGAGAGTAATGCTGCTGCTGTCGCGACGCAGAGCGGGAACGACGAGGATGTGGGTGCGGAGCTGAGCCCCGGGGATGAAAATGGGGAGAGGGGAAGGCTCTTTGTTAAAGTGATGGGGGTCAAGGATCTGGATTTGCCTATTCCTAAGAGTATGTTTCTTTTACTATCTTGGGCTGAACGAGTTGATGGCTAACGCGAGACAGATGAGCGAACCTGGTTCAGTCTCACGCTCGACAACGGAGTCCACTGCGTGACGACGGCCTGGCTGGAACTGGCCCGCAACGCGCCCATCGGGCAAGAATTCGAATTGGTTGTCCCCAATGACTTGGAGTTCCAGCTGACGTTGAACGTCAAGCTGGAGAAACCGGTCGAGAAGCCCGTGGCCAAGGCGCTGCCGTCGCCTACTAAGCTCAGCAAACCCAAGACGTCGGCCTTTTCCAGGGTGTTTGCCTCGCCCAAGAAGAGGAAGGAGATGGAGCTCCGGCAAAGGCAGGCAGAGGAGGAAGAGAGGCTTGCCGCTCAGCGGGAGGCGCAGGCGAGACAGATGAAGAGCCAGCCTACGGCATGGGACTTGCTGAGCCCGCTGGCGGCGGACGATGGCTCTTTTGCCAGGGCGTACGTCTGCCTCAAGGACCACGAGAGCAAGTGTTTTGGCAGGCCCTATCTCGTCGACGTGGCGGCGTTCAACGAGTGGGCGATGGAGGACGCGGGTTTTGCGTCTAGTGTTAAGAGCAAGAGGGGGAACATGGGACCTGGCTCTGTCGTGAGGCGGGCGCCGTACAAGATTGGAAAGCTGGAGCTGCAGCTGTTGTTTGTACCGAGGCCCAAGGGGGCGACGGATGAGGACATGCCAAAATCTATGAACAGCTGTATCAGGGAGATGAAGGCTGCGGAGGAGAGGTTGGCGAGGTGCTGGGAGGGGCATCTCAGCCAGCAGGGCGGGGATTGTCCCTACTGGAGGAGGAGGTATTTCAAGCTTGTCGGGACAAAGTTGACGGCTTACCACGAGGCTACGAGGCAGCCCAGGGCCACGATTAATTTGGCGAATGCCAAGAGGTTGATCGATGATCGGAGGACGCTGATGGAGAAGGAGACGCTTGGGAAGGGGGGCAAGAGGAGGAGGAGCGCGTTTGCGGAGGATGAGGAGGGGTACATGTTTGTGGAGGAGGGGTTCAGGATCAGGTTCAACAACGGGGAGTTGATTGACTTTTATGCAGACACGGCCGAGGACAAGGAGGGGTGGATGAAGGTGCTTGGGGAGGTCGTGGGGAAGGAGGTGGTGCCCGGGGACGGGGTGGATGATGTTGTTGGCTCTGTGGTGGCGGGAGGGGGGGGAGGGTCGAAGATGAAGGGGAAGTGGTGCGAGTTGGTGATGAAGAGGGAGGAGCAGCTGAAGCGGAAGGAGTCGGCTAGCCAGGGGGGTGGCGGGAGGAGGGTGCATTCTAGGACTAAGAGTGCTTTGACTTGAGGTTTTCTATCCTGGGGTGTAGTTTTCTTTTTGCTCTTTCTGGTTTTGGCGCTGCCTTTTTTTTTCTTTTTTCTTTCACATCTGTGTATCACTTGCATTACTGGGAGCGCAAAGGGAGGGAAGGGAATTTCGGGATGGGCAGGCAGGCAGGGCATAAGAGAGGGAAGGAGTTGATTGGGGGGGGGGGAGGGAGTCAGTCAATCTGCATAGGGTAGTAGTTCTTGTTGGAGTAAGGTATATTGGGGACTAAGAGGTGGTGGTTGGATGTTGGAACACACACATATGGGACGACTACGACAAAAGTCATCACAGCAACAACAACAACAACAACAACAACAACAATGTTTCATTGCTTGCTTTTTTATTTTATTTGTTTTTGTTATTCCACTCTTGCCCTTGTCTTTTGCTACCTTACTGAGTAGTATTGGCACACCCAACACAAGATGTCTACTTGTCTATTTTGTTGCTTTTCAGCCCTGTCGCGTTGGCTTTTTTGAGTTGTATATCCCTTTTTCGTTCTTAAGTGCAAGAAGAAAGAAAAAAGTTGAGTTGGGTGTAGGTGGTTGGAGATTATGTTTGGGGTTTTAGAGAGAGAGAGGGATGGGATAGGTTTCGTTGGTGTGTGTGTGTGTGTGTGTGAAGAGAACTTTGGTTTCTTGTGTATTGATTGTCGTTGTTGAATTTGAGAAGCTAGTTGTATTAAGTAGTATTTACCTACTTGTTGAATTTAAAATAAAAAAAGGTTTAACCTGTGGTTTTTTGTTACTGGGGATTTTGTGAAGGGTATTGGTTTGAAGTGCTACTGCAGATTTCCTTGGAATTGTCTGATGATGGGTTTTCGGGTTCTTCATCGTGTCATAGGGTTTATATCGCTGACATTCTGTAGCATGATAACCTGCTGTTGTTGTGGCTTCTTCATTCGACTCTTCCTTTTGCCTGTATCTCTTGACCTAGAGTCAGAGATATCTCGACCCTTTGCAAGCCTTGCAAAGTCCGCAGCGTCAACGAACAAGAATCTGTGTCACTGATGGTGATGATGAAATGACGATTTCGTGTCACCAGACCCTTAATGCCGGGCATTTTCGTGATCCTTGTGTATAAAGTAGTTTCGACAACGTAACTGATCGCCCTCTCTCTATATATATCCTTCTCGTTTATGCAACTGCCGGTTTTTTTGCCACCTCGATCTTCAATGATCATCGTCACCCACCACCATGTACAGTGCCAGCCGACCCGTTTGATCATCTGATCTGTGCATATGAGTGCATTAATTCATTTTTTATGTAGGTAGGTAGTGTTACAAGGAAACGGTGATATTCTGGAAGGGTTGGGTAGGTTTGTTACCTATGTGGATCAGATCATCATGGATGGGTATGGAGGAGGACGGGAGTATCCGGTGATAGTCCGGCACAGACAGAGAGACCAGGCACCGTGTTTGTTTTGGGGGTAGCAGTACTGTCTGTCTGTTCTACCCGCTTTAGGTCCCGCCCATACCGACCCGTAGTTCCCGTGTCCTCCGTCTCCGGGGGTGTGGTGCGGTGTCATCAGGTGTCCGGGGTTACACATACACACACACACCGTATTTTTGAAGGTCCGTTCAGGGTCCCACCGTAGGTCAGTCACCGTTGTTTTGGAGATGCCACTCCGTATTTGTGTTTGCTGCTCACCGTAAGTATGGAGTCTTTTTTTTTTGTGCTTCAAAGGGGGGTCTTCACCGTATTCCGTGGGGTTACAGTCTCGCCTCCGCAGTGGTTCGTTCCCAACCCGCGGAACCCTGAAAATGATACCCGGCCGCCGGGACACACAAGGTTCGAGAATGGTGGAGAAGCTTTTTTTTCTTGTCCCGTTCACACACCGCCGTTCAGGGGCCGCCGCCGCCGTCGTCCGGAATGGGGACCAGGTTGCTCCACTTTCAGGTACCGGAGTCGGAGTCGGAGTCGGAGGAGCCTCATCACGCCTTACTGCGGCGCAGGAACACGATAGGCAAGGTACAAAGATAGATGCGCTGGCAGTGTGGGAGAAAAAAAGAAGAAAAGCTTCTGCTGCATAATCTCGCTCCTCTTTTTTTCCACCACGGGGAAGAGCATCCGTATGCTACTCAGATACACTGCAAGTGGAGAGTGTGTGCTTGCTGTCAATGTGTCAGTGAGGCCGTAGTGCAGGTACCACAGATGGCCAGTTTTGGGCTGATCTACAGCAAAAATAATAGTTGTATGTTTCACCTAGTTGGTGTAAGTGAAGATATTCAGACAAAGCCCCCCTCCCCCCCCCGGCTCTCCAACAAAAAAACAAAAAAAAAAAAAAAACTAAACGGGTCAAGTCCCAAGTGAAGACTCTTCTAGCGCCATCCCCGTCTTTGTCGATCGATCTCGATGAGATAGATACCTTTCGGATTTCAGAATTTTCATCACCAACCCGCATCAGTCAGCGGTCACAGGATTGTCTGACTGTTGACAGTGAACAATCTCGTAAGCTGTCCACCACCCACTTTTTCCAGCTGGGGTGGATAGCAAGAGCTTCTTTTTCCGTGGGGGGAGGGGGGAGAAAATAAAAAACTTGGTCTTTTTGATTACCCCAGTGAACAAAAACAAAACCCCCGCCCAGGTCGGTCGGTTTCGTCCACTACCCCATATTCCCCACAGCGCTAGTCTATCCCGTCCTGCTGCCGCCCCCGCTTAACGTCCGATTTTCCTTAACCAACGCAGCGCAGATCACTTTCCTTCCCTCTCGTCCGGACAGGCTGGAAACTTCTGCGGTGAGAAGAAAAGAGAGGGGTGTCTACTGGCTGTGTGTGAAAGGGGTGGAGAAATGAGGCTGTGTTCTTGTGGAAAATGGAGAACATATATTTGTGCCTTGCATATACAGACCGCGGCAGACTATATCGGCACAGAAAAGAAAACAGAGATTTATTCTGTTGCCTGGTGTAGCTGTTGGCTAAAGATCTAGAACTTGCAAAAATCTAGCAAACATGTGAGACATATTGCCCAGCTCCTCACCTCGGTCAACAACAACCCCTTTCTCATCTGCCGCTCATTCATCACGGATATCAAACCCGATATTGAACGCCCCCCCAACCCCCCCCCTTTTTCTCCGAAAAACCATATTAAATCAATATTTCCCCTTCCACCTCACACAGCATAGATTAACTCTGCCCTCTCCCCTCTCCCACCGCCAAAAGACAAGGTGAGGTCATCCCCCCTCTCCTCAAAAAACCCAGCGTCCCATCCAATTCAGGAACCCACATCTTATTACCCCATATTCTCGGTCTTTGCTTGTTTGCCAGCAAGCTCCAACCAACCCCACCACCCATGTAACCATATCCTATCTCCACCAGTCCATCCACACCAAGCAAGCAGTTCCAATTGTTCCACAACGGTCACCAACAAGACAGGACAAGCGAAACAAGAAGCGAAAAAGCAAATGCATCATTCTGTCTGTCTGTGTGTGTGTGTGTGTGTGTCTGTTGTATTCAGCCAATTCAATTGTGTAATAAAATGAAAAATGTGTGTTTTGTTTGAGCGGTGTGACATGTCCCATCCGTCCGTCCGTCCGTATCCGGAAACCAAAAAATGCCCCCATCGTGATAAAAAGAAGAAAGCTCCGTTCATGCCAAGAGTAAAATAAAAAAGACGTAACAAAGTTAGGTATATACATTTCAGACAGAAAGAGAAAAAAAAAGAGGCCTGTGTTTCCTTTGCCAATAATCTCCAAAAATATGCCGCCACCTCCAAGAAAGTTATAAATGCTAAAGGTAAGAGTAGTAAGCTCAGATGTCCTCCTCGAGACCCCCCGAAGCGAATAATAGTCCTCCTCCTCTCCATGATTTGTCATGCTCCAAGGAATAAAAAAAAGTTGCTTTTTTCCCATCTATTGTCTTCAGATAAACCCTCGCCCATGCCGCTAAGCTTTTTGTTGAAAACACATATCCCAAACATGAAAAACAAAATTAGTAGTAAGTGACAATGAAGAAAGGCACCAAGAAGGGGTGGTGGTTTGTGATGATGTGGGACGTTAACCAAGTCCACGGCAACCGCCAATCCCTCCCTCCCTCTTCCCCTGTACAGCGCGTGCCCAGCCGAGGGACCAACCCCGCGCTAAGAAATGCAGGTGTGTCCCAGAAAACGCCTCTTTTTTCGATGCTGGCCTGTCATGTGCCAAGACAGATGTGGAAAGCGTGAGGATGGCATCCCCGCCGCTCCCCATGCTGAACCGGCTCACCCATGTGTGGGGTACCGAGAAATCAAAAGATCCGGAAAGCTGCATGAGTGGCAGCTGGGTTTGGGAGGTGTGATGCTGCTGCTGCTGCTGCTGCTACTGCTGAAGCACAGCCAGCACACAAGAGAGGGCAGATCTGTGCCGTTCAGCACCCCGCGCGGAATGTTGCACTGCAACAGCTCGGCCAACCAAACCCCCACATGGAGAGAGATAAAGAAGGATCAGAAAAGTCCTTTTCCTAATCAAGACAGCTCTTGACTTTGCGTCCCTGGGTCCCAACGACTGCAATCAGCGTTGCCTTTTCCGACAGCATCGCTGCATTGCCATGTGAGGCTACCCGCATCCGACTCCTCGCATGACTTTCAACGCGGGAGAACTACCTCCCGGAGGCGAGCATGGGTGTGACGAGTTCGATGCTCTTTGGTCTGGAGTAAACACCAGGCCTGCGTGACGGAAGAGGTCTGTCAACCGAGGAGCCGTAGTGGTCGTAGTACGCCCCGTCGTAAGTGGTCGAAAAGTAACTCGAGTTGGGTTTCGTGTACGAGTTGTCTGGGCTTGTAGCAGTGCCCCTGCCAAACGACCAGACACCGCTGTGGGAGGTACCCATCATGGGTGACGTGGGACTCGGTGGGCGGATGTATAGTGACGACTTGAGCGCATTTACGGCCGTTGAGGGCGGGGAAAAGTGCGTAGAGCTAGGCCTTGAAGGCGAGGCGCGGGGTACGATATCTCTGGGCTCTGGAGCTCCTGAGTAGAAAGGGTACTGAGTGGGTGGGTGACTTCCACGGCTCGGCGCCGTCGAGGCGCTAACCTGGTCATCGTACCGGCATCTAGATTGCAACATTAGCGCTGAGTCCAAAGAGATACATCATCTCGCAGAAGACTCACGTTTCTGAGCAGTAGAGGTTCTGGTCGTCGGCTGGAATGAATTGCTTCTCGCACACCATGCTACATCATTCAGTCAGCCGGGGTTCTTCCAAGGAAATCAAGACGTATGCAGGAACGGCAACCCGGACACTCCCCCAGAGAATGAGGTGCCCGGTGTGGTGGTTGACCCCTCTTTCCCCCTCTTCGCTTGAGGTAACACAAATCACCTGCATGTCAGGTGACGATGCGGGCGGATGGAAAGGGAAGTGCTGCAGTTGCGAAACGTAAACGCTCGGAAACACTTACCAGTACTGCGGGAAGCTCTCCCGCTCCTCATCCCACCAGCGCTCATCGTCCAGTTCCCTCTCTCTGTCCTCGCGACTCCTGCCCAGCTTTGGGGCGCTTTGCGGTGTGATTCTTCTCGTCATGGTGGTAGGTCTGGATGAGTGCTTCCTGTAGTTGGGGTCTGATGCACCGACTGTTGCTTTGCGGACGTCGGTCATGGACGTGTTGCCCGACTTTCGACGGTGGTGATGCATGGAGACGAGCCTTGTGATTGGTGCAGCTCAGGGGAGCTCGAGGTGAAAGCGCAGGGCGTCGAGGCCAGGGAATGCTGGTTGGCTGTAGCTCGTCCAAAGTCCCTTGGGGTCCAAGTGTGGGGATGGAGATGGCCCAGACGGGGGGAGGCGGGGAATTTGAAGCTTCAGAGAGCGAGAACTGAAGAACCCGGGATAAAGCCTGTGTGGACAGCTAGGGGTTGGGGGTTGGGTAACAATTGAGCGACGAAAAGACGATCCTTTTGAACTTGGCAAGTTGTCGTCCAAACAAGAAAAAGTTTTCCTCGCAATTGGAGCCCAGCAAAGGGGTGTGTCGTGCGGTGGCGAATATGTATGCTGCAGAAGAGATTTTTTTTCTTTTTTTTCCCTCTTGGGTTGTCGGTGCTGTCGGTTGCTGGCGGCCTTTTGTGGACTGTGATGGTCCCTTGGTATTATGCCGGGCCACTCGATAGTTGGATTCTTGGGCCAGTAGTCTGCAATCGCTGAACCTTCGGGGAAGGTGTCTAATAACAGGGCTTGACTCGGGTTGCCGCCCAGCAGTGAGTCTGTGTTGCGTTGCGGTGCTGCTGACGGGCCACAACGATGTGTGTCGCGACAACTCGTGGACTTGGCGTGCAAATCGGGTAGCCAAACGAGCAGGATTTTACCCCGCGCTTGTGTAGTCGGGATGTCTGTTATAGAAGAGAAGTGACGGTTGAGTTGATGGGAACACAAGTGGAAACTCGCGTGGAGGTGTGTGTGTCTTGTGTAAGTGTAGGTATGAAGATAGGTGGTAGTGTAGCTTGGAAGAGCTGTCTGAATGTCTTTGAACCGAAAAAAGACGGCACAGGCGAAGCTTGAGTGTGTGAGACGACCGACCAAAGGCAGAGCTTTAAAAGACTTGATTCTTTGGGCTAATTATCAGATACTTTTGCGTGTCGGATGACTCCTTTGACCATTTCCTGGGCGCTTCAGCTTGCGCGTGGACCAGCGCCGAGTCCTTCAAGGCTGCTGCCGAGAGCGGAGATGGACGGAGCTGGGTGAGCTTGTTGGCCTTGGCCAATCGTCTTTAACCGTCGGTGGGTGTGGTGCAAAGACGGGGAAGTGTATCGAAAGGACTGACGTCTAAGCATGCAGTACGAGGCTTGCCCTCAGGAAGTGTTGTCAACTGTGG